GTCTGACGAGGGCGAGATCGATGCTTGCATCGGTCCGCCAGGTGCCCGAAATTCCTGCAGATTTTGCAGTAGAGGCGCCGCGGCCGTCGCTCTTCCGTGTTGTCGGCGTAGAAGGCGAGGCGTTCCCTGTCTCGTCGCGGCGCTGGTCGCTGCTGATCCATATCCCGTTGTTCGACGAGGAGGGCGGCGCAGAGGGCGGCCTCCGAGATGACCCCCTGCTGTCGGAGAAGCGCCTTGCAGGGCCGCCACTCGGGGCCGAGCCCTTGGAGTACGATATTTACGAAGATTTCCTCAGAAATCGTGCTCCCCAGTTTCGCGATTTGATCGCGTAGGCTCCGACAGCGATTCAGGTAACTGTTGGCCTTCTCTCCTGGTGCCATTTTGGTCTCCAGTAGCTGCTGGAGTAGACGGCTCGACGACACCGAGTCCTTCGGTTGATACACACCATTCAGGTGGCGCCAGGCGTTGAGGGCTGGAGCAGGCGAAGTTTTGTATGAGCGTATGCTCAATTGCTCCGTCGGCGACATATTTCGAAGAAGAACCCCGTACGCCATCAGGGACTCGTTGTAGTACTTGATTTTTGCGTCGTCAGTTTCCTCAGTGGGTCCCGAGTAGCTCCCGTCAAAGTAGTGAAAAATCTGCGCGTTTTGCAGCAGCAGCTCCAGCTCGAAGCTCCAGGTATAGAAGTCTCTGCCGTCAAAGCACACACTTGTCTTTATTTTTGATATGCTAAAAAACCTTGATTGCGCAGAGAGAATTGCTTCATCGCTGGGACAGGGAGTCTTGGGTGTTGAGCCGTTTGTGTCAAGAGAGAAGCCTTGCGGGGCGGAGTTCTGGCCAATCGAGGCCGGTTGAGTGGGTTGGGAAGATGTTCCCGCATCGCCATTCCGCAATGTTTGGAGCCCTTGCTCCAGGCTCGTGAGTCGCTGAAGCAGTTGTGCAAGGACGACGGAAGGGATTGTCGTCGTGTCCTCGTTTGTCGCAGCTGGATTAGTCTGCGCTTCAGCCGTCAGAGTCGTCTGACCTCCAGATCCTCCGGCCATTCTCACACGTGAGCGTGTGCCGGACGCCGCTTTCCGTTCGCCGAATATTTCGGTGGTGGCGGTGCGAAGGATTCCTGAGTCGCTCTCATACCATGTTGCGATCAGAAAGTTGATCACCCTCAGGATCATCTCAGGAAGGTTCGCACAGTCCTAATCTAGTGGTGGGCCCTTGACCTCAATAGCAGAGTGAATGTAAATGCTTGAGATAATATAAACATGCAGTACAAGGAATATAAATAAGATTACAAGGGAATACCAATCGACCTGGCTAGCCATGTACTCTAAGGGGTACATTCCCTTATTGCAGCGAAATCCAACCGTGCGACTCCAGACAGTTACGAAACTGTTCGGACAGAATCCTCGCCACTGCTGCTGCCTGATGCTGTCTGCCCGACGGTCCAGATCCTTTCGTAGCCGTGTGACTCTTCGTGTCACTTCCGCCTGTCTGTCTTCATTCTCGGTAGTACGTGCTTCGATTGCTGCGGTGAGGAGTGTACAATAGTGTTTCAACAATCACTATTTGTAACATTGTGCACTCCTCACCGCAGCAAGCGAAGCACGCACTACCGAGGTCGAAGACGAAAGGGCGGAAGTAATGCGAAGGGACGTACGGTTACAAGGGGCATCTGAACCGTCGGGCAGACAGCATCAGGCAGCAGCAGTGGCGAGGATTCTGCCCGAACAGTTACGTAACCACCCGGAGTCGCACGGTTGGATTTCGCTGCAATAAGGGAATGTACCCGTTAGAGTACATGGCTAGCTAGGTCGTTTCGAATCCCCTTGTACTCTTATTTATATTCCTTGTACTGCATGTTTTTATCATCTCAAGCATTTACATTCACTCTGCTATTGAGGTCAAGGGCCCACCACCACTAATCTAGTTGTGTGCGAACTGTCAGAAACAGTAGCTAGAATGAAGGAGCCATAGCTAGGGTTTAGCTAGCTAGGCAAGAGAGAATGGGGTACACGAAAGAGAAATGGAAGAAGAGGGTTGAACTAGAAAGGAGAGGGATACAAATAGCAAGCCCAAAAGGGTTATACTCACTATTGAGTACCCCACTACAGACTAGACAAGCATAATATTCTGACACACCCCCATAGTCAAAGTGGGGTATAATCAGCACAGCAAGCAGTCATAGAGCAGGTTCACAAGAACAAGCAAAGCTAGAGGCATTCACAAAGGGCAAGTGAGGAGGAGGAGGCTGGACTCTGAGAGGAGAGGAGATAGGAGGCGACGGCTGAAGCTGCAGACACACGGGCAACAGGAGCGGCGCGCACGGTGGCTACCGGAGCAAGGGCCCGGGACTACAGGAGTAACTGGCTCTGCGGCTAACTCTGAGCGGCAGGAGCAACGGACCCACGGGCGACAGGCGCAGCAGGCTCTCTGGGCTACCAGCGGCAGAGCCCCGGACTACAGGTGCTGCGGACGACAAGACGGCAGCCTCCGCTCAACCTCCCCCAACTGTCCCACCCCCCTTTCACACACCCCTTGCTGTACCCCTAGCTCCACTCCCACGTCACCCCCCTAGCACCACTCCTTCGGCTCCCACACACCCACCCCCCTCAGCGGCAGCTGCAGCTGTGGGAGACGGAGGAAGAGGAGGAGCAGGGGACAGCTCACACACCCGCTACCACCATACCCGTCACCCCCATACCCTGAGTGTGCGATAAGCGAGCTCAGGTGTGCTCGAAGCGTGCACAAGCGTGCGGGAAGCGAACTCGGGTGTGCAGTAAGCGAACTCGGGTGTGCGGGGAGGGGGGGCCGCAGGGCGACGCGCGGGTCCACGGGAGCGGCGCACGGGTCCCACGGGGTGGCGCGCCGGGATGGCGGGGGCCCCGCGCGGGTCCCTAGGGCGACGCGACGGGATCGCAGGGGGCGCGCGCGGGTCCCCAGGGGCGAAGCGACGGTCGACGGGGGGGGACGCGCGGTTCTCCGGGGGCGGCGCGACGGTCGACGGGGAGGGACGCGCGGGTCCCCGGGGTGACGCGACGGTCGACGGGGAGGGACGCGCGGGTCCCCGGGGTGACGCGTGAGGCAGAAAACCGCCGCGCGCCTCGGGGCGCACGGCGGGCAGAAAACCGCCATGCGCCCCGAGCGCGTGGCGGGAAGAAAAAACGTCGCGCGCCACGGGGCGCGCGACAGACAGGACAGCAGCAGCGGAAGCATGTGGGCCCACAGGCCAGGAGCGCAAAGGCTCTAATACCATGTCAGAAACAGTAGCTAGAATGAAGGAGCCATAGCTAGGGTTTAGCTAGCTAGGCAAGAGAGAATGGGGTACACGAAAGAGAAATGGAAGAAGAGGGTTGAACTAGTAAGGGACATACGTAAGGGACATGTCCTCGTCCGAATGTATTGCCGTATTAAGACAAGGTGGACTAGTGCACACTTAATTTCTCACGTGATGACTATTATCCTGGTTCAGCTGCTACAATACTAGGAAAACCAACACTCATTTTTTTAAACAAGTTGAAAACAAAAAAACGAGAAAAAAAAAGAGCTGTTTTATTGTTGACATTCAATGTCTCACAGGCACATGCATGCGTCCGCTACTTCTGACAGGAAACGAAAGCTGAAGACAAGTAATGCTGAAGTTGGAAATGCATACAAGTGTGAGATAAGCACACATAGCTGGTGGTGGTGCCGTGCTGTTAGTGGTGGCGATGATGGTGGTGGTGGTGATGTTAGTGCTGCTGCTGATGGTGGTGGTGGTATTGGTGATACCGGTAGTTGTAGTGGTGCTGCTAATGCCGTTGCTGCTGCTGCTGCTGCTGCTGATGCTGGTGGTGCTGATGGTGGGGGTGGCAGCAGCAACGCTTCGTGGTAACTCAAGAGTTGACTCATGAATGACCCTGCAAGACAGAGCAAAGGTTAGGTCCTCTTATCCCCTAACCCTGTCTCCCTCCTCGCACAACTACACCGGCTGAATCACCAACAGCACGAGCATGCATTCCCCTCTCTCTTTCACACACACGCACAAACACACTCTCGCCATCATCCTTCCTTCCCCTTTCGCTCTCTCCCTCTCCGCCTCACACCCCTTCTCTCTCCCGCCTCCCCTCTCTTAGCATCTCGCAGGACATGCTGATTACTCAAAAACGGAAGCGGGAGTGATGGGAAGGGAGGAAAGAAACGGAAAGAGGAGAAGGGAAGTTGAGCTTTCTGCGTACCTCACATTTTCTCCCCCCTGAGATAACATCTCAGCACCATCCCACATAGCACTCAGCCTCCTTTCAACAAACGAACTCTCCCTCAGTTTTTTTTTTTTTTTTTGCAGTGAACAACGGATTTCACCACCCACCCTCCTCACACTCTTCTCTCCACCTTCCGTTCTCAACACTCAACGCCTTTTTCCAGCTGCCAAGCTAAGAAACCCCCATGCTCCTTACCGGTGTGCTTACCTACCCAATGCAACCACAAGCCTATCCATTGCAACCACGCACAACCTCTTGGTAAACCTCTGCCTCTCTCTCAGTCTCAGCCACACAGGCACCTCAAACCTTACCCATGCTTTGCCAAATCACCTTATCCAATAAAACCACCCTATGAGGAGTGTTACCGAACTCCTAGCCTGATTTCCTGCACCCCTTGCAACCTTCTCACCTTAACGGGGGATTGCCCCTTGCGCCTTACCCGTCCATCAGTGGTTGCTTCTGCCCCCTCTCCACCACACTCAGCGCGTTGACCTCTTCACCCTTTGCACTGTGCAGCCCCGTGCTGCTCTGCCCTCCTCACTCTATGCACTGCACTGCACTGCACTGCACTGCACCACAGTGCACCATTCTGAAAGGCACTGCAACACTCTTCCCTGCCCTGCCCTGCTCTGGTCATGAATGCCCTTTGATGGGGTTGATTTGACCCTCTCCCCCTTCTGTGTCGCTTCTGCACAGCACTGCCCTGTGCTGCTCTGCCTTTCTCACCCTTTGCACCGCACCACACTGCACTGCACCGCACTGTCCTCACGCATAGCGGTTGGTGGGATGGGCTTGGGCTTTCTCCCTCTTCTGTGTCGCTTTTGGGTTGAGCTTAGCCTGCCACAGAAACACACACACACACCCATGCATGCACCCATGCATGCACCCATGCATACACACACACATCACATATGCGCACACACACATGCACATATGCGCACACCATGCATGCACTCACATGCACATGCGTGCACACACATACATACACACACGCACATACATATTCATGCACACATGCACATGCGTGCATACACATGCAGATATGTGCACGCATGGACACATGCGCACACACACATGCACATGCACACATACATGCACATACATGCATGCGCACATGCACGCACGCACACATGCACACATACATGTGCATACATGCATATGCACAAGCACGCACGCTCACACACACATGCGCATGTGCGCGCATATGCACAAGCATGAACAATTGCGATCAGCCGTCCACTTGCATGCACATACACATGCACATGCGCGCATGCAGTTAGCATTTGCCCCCACAAGCACAAACGTGCATACACACGCACACATGCACATGCGCGCATGCAGTTAGCATTTGCCCCCATACGTTAGGCACACACAGAGACACCACACCCACCATCGAAATTCAGGCACTCATACCAGCAAGCAGCACACACACAACAACCCAACTGCCAATCTCCCCGCATCCTCCATACCCCCTCCCACATCCCCCCAAAATCACACAGACATCCGCCCACCCTCCTGCCTCATTCCCCCACAGACACACCCACCGCACACCGGGAGAGACATACACACACAAACACAAACGCAAGCGCAAAAAAGGAACACGGTTAAAAGCCCGCACCAACAGATCAAAGGAGTGCTTCACAGCCCCCTCCAATTCCTGCCTTTCTATTCTCCAATCTCCATTTTTCCAACCCCCAACTCTTCTCCTCCCCACCCCCCCCATAGCCCACCTCTCTTTCTCGCAGTTGCTTCGACAGAGGGTGGATAGCCACAGCCACACGAGCAATCGCACACGCAGCCGTCCGATTCGCCATGATCACATCCGCAACGTCGATCAGCACCGTCCATTCTGCCTCCCAGCCAGGATGCCCTGACCCTGCCCCCCCTGCTGCTGCTCCCACCCCTCCTCCCCCCTGCTGCAACGCCGTTAGTAACACGGTAACCGCATGGGTCAGTTGGGACGGGTTGACGGTCGGAGGTAGGGTAACAGGCTCGGTACCTTCGCCGGACCTCCCTTTCTGCTTCGGCTTCGGCTTTGAAGCAGCTTCTGAAGCTGCAGCCGTTGCAGCAGCCGTGGCTTGGAGCACGTTCGGAAGGTTGTTACCGAACAGGAGATGGAGGTAGGTTCGGGCAAGAGGCACGTTCCGAGGCAGGAGGTCCAGGGCTTGCCGAACCTGCTCTAGCTGCCGAGCCTCTTTGGGGTGATTAGGAGGAAAAGATGGGGTGCGAGAAAGAGCACTCGAAGCAGGAGCAGGAGCAGGAGCAGGAGCAGGAGCAGGAGCAGGAGCAGGAGCAGGAGCAGGAGCAGGAGCAGGAGCAGGAGCAGGAGCAGGAGCAGGAGCAGGAGCAGGAGCAGGAGCAGGAGCAGGAGCAGGAGCAGGAGCAGCGAGAGAAATGACTGAAGGAGCAAAGCCGATCCCCATACACGTGTTGAGGAGAGAGAAGTCGAAATTGGGGGGGCCTAGGAGGAACGAGAGGGCCTGTTGCACTTGAGGGGGGTATTCCGAGGTGAAGGGAGGTGATGGGGAGGGAAGGTGGCTGGGTGATGGTGTGAGGGAAGGAGAGGAGGAGGGGAAGAGAGGGTGGAGAGGAGGGAGGAGGAGATGGAGGAGAGAGTGTGATTGAGCCCAGAGGAGGAGAGAAGGGATGGAGAGAGGGGGGTGGGGAGGAGGGACGGAAGAGTCCAGAGAAGGGGCAGTGGAGGGATGAGAACCTGAAGGGCCAACAGAGGCTGAAGGATCAAGAGCAGTGGGAGTGCGGGTAGCAGTGGGAGTGTGGGTGGTAGCGGAAGGATGAGCAGCAGCAAGAGCGAGGGCCCAATGGACAGAATCCCTCACATGCAGGTAACCCCCGCTCCTCACTGCCTCCCTCACTGCTGCACTCGCTGCTGCTGCTGCTGCTGCAAGCTTAGTAGCACTGCTTTCCATATCCATACAAACCCCATCATCAGCGCCAGCAGCAGCAGCAGCAGCGGCATTATCAGCACCGGCTGCAACAGCAGCGAGAGAGGGCGACACTGCAAGATCTCTAGAGTGCAGCAAGGAGCGCAGAGAGCGACACATGAGCCCATACACTGCAGCACCACCAGTGCCGCCCGTTGCCTGCTGGGACTGGAAAACACCACTAGTGCCGCCCAATGCCTGGGTGCTGATCTGTTGCTCTTGCGGGCTGGGCGGCTCCGTTTGGCAGTACTGGAGGGAGAAGAGAGACCGGAAGAAGGCGAATCGGCAGTATGCAGCTGCTTTTGCTGCCGCTGCAGCCTCTGCTGCTGCTGCCGCCGCCGCTGCTTCTGCTTCGGCAGCTGCTGCTGCTGCTGCCTCTGCTTCTGCTGCTGCCGCTGCTTTTCCTTTCTTGCCTCTCCCTCTCCCTCTCCCTTGCCCTTTCGCCCTCTTCCCACCCCTCCCCCTCCCTCGTCCTCCACTCCCCCCTCTCTCATCCCCCTCGCCCTCTTCCCCTCCATCTCCCTCCTCTGCCCTTCCTCCCTCCTTCCTTCCCTCCTCTCCCCCACCCTCCTTCCTTCCCTCCTCCCCTCCACCACCAAAAAGCACCTTCTCTGCTCGTTCCCACACTCTCACTCCCTCCCTCACTCCCTCTGCCCCCCCTGTTTCTGCCAGCGCCCACACACACACCACCACTAGCTCTACCAGCATTTCATACTCCTTATAAGCATCTCCCATACTAGGTCCCTTATTAAAGTCACTCGCATCCTCGCCTTCTCCCCATAACAGCTCTTTCAGAACACTACCAACAGCTTCTAAAGTGGCTGCATATACAGAAGAGGGTACCGAATCAGACTGTCGTGGGGATGAAACAGGAGGAGGACCGTCAACACCTGAAGCAACACCTGAGGAAACACCTAGCTGTCTGTTGCAGGCTGAATATCGTACCAGCGAGATTGCCACAGCAACACGTGCCAACAGCAACCCCTCGCCCTCTCGCCCTCCCTCCCTCTCTTTCCCTCTTCCTTTGTCTCCTTGCCGCCTCTCCTCCGCCCCTTCTCTTGCCTTCATCGCAAGAAACTTCCTTGCAGATTCCAGAACAGCCCCAACCATTTGTTCTCCCTCAGGCAACACCCACCCCACATGCTGACAATCTGCCACCCAGGGCATGTCCACCAGCGGAATCAAATCTTGCCGGAATCCGATCTTGGCTGCTACAGTGTCAGGAAAGCTGCCGGCGGAGAGAAGGTGGGCGGCAGAGAGGAAAAAGACGGCAGCATCAAGCGGTGTGAGGCAGGATAGTAACGCTTCTGCTGCTACTGCTGCTGCTGCTGCTGTTGGTGCCGCTGTTGGTGCCGCTGTTAGTGCTGCTGCCATTTCTCCTCCATTAAATTCTCCTTCCTCCGTTGCCCCTTCTCCCTGTCCCTTACCCCCCTCTTCATCTCCCACACCTCCCTCCCTCCCCCCATTCCCACACCTCTCCACCGCACTCACCACCATCCCGACCCACTCCCACACCTTCCTCCCCTCCCCGCCCTCCCCCCACACCAGCAGCAGCTGCAGGGCACAGTCAAGCGCCTCTGCACTGCGTTGACTCGCGTTGACCGGGTCAACCACAGGCGGGGTGGACATGGGGGGAGGGAGTTGACTCAATAGACCCGAGAGGGACACCCCTTGGGGTGTAGCGGCCGAGGAAACGCGGGATGATTGCGCGGGGGCGGCGTTAGGGTTTGATAAGCCGAGAGACGAGCGCAGATGGGGAGTGATTGAGTCTAGTGCTGCTCCCTTCTCCTGCATCTCTGCTGCTGCATCGGATCCCAAGGGGACGAGGAGGAGGAGAGGAGGTGGCGGAAGTGGAGGAGAGGGAGGGGTGTGGGCTAGAGAGGGGGGTGAGGGGGAGGGGGTGTGTGAGGGGAGGAGGGGGCAGTGGGAGAGGAGGAGGAGGGTGTTGGTCCAGGTGTCTGCTGCTGCAGTGCAGGAGACTTGTGCTGATGCTTTGTGCCATTGCAGCTGATGCCACGAAGGGAGGTAGAGGGACTGTGGGCAAGGGATAGAACAGGGGGGCAGACAGGGGTTTGTGGTTAGATGAGTGTGATTTGAGACTTGTGCTGCCGCCTTGTGCCATTGCAGCTGATGCCATGAAGGGAGGTAGAGGGACTGTGGGCAAGGGATAGAACAGGGGGGCAGACAGGGGTTTGTGGTTAGATGAGTGTGATTTGAGACTTGTGCTGCCGCCTTGTGCCATTGCAGCTGATGCCATGAAGGGAGGTAGAGGGACTGTGGGCAAGGGATAGAACAGGGGGGCAGACAGGGGTTTGTGGTTAGATGAGTGTGATTTGAGACTTGTGCTGCCGCCTTGTGCCATTGCAGCTGATGCCATGAAGGGAGGTAGAGGGACTGTGGGCAAGGGATAGAACAGGGGGGCAGACAGGGGTTTGTGGTTAGATGAGTGTGATTTGAGACTTGTGCTGCCGCCTTGTGCCATTGCAGCTGATGCCATGAAGGGAGGTAGAGGGACTGCGGGCAAGGGATAGAACAGGGGGGCAGACAGGGGTTTGTGGTTAGATGAGTGTGATTTGAGACTTGTGCTGCCGCCTTGTGCCATTGCAGTTGATGCCACGTGGGCAGGTAGAGGGACTGTGAGCGAACAGGGAACATGAGAGGGGGTTTTTGGGGGGTGAGTGTGGCTAGAGACTTGTGCATGAGACTTGTGCTGATGCCTTGTGCCATTGCAGTTGATGCCACGTGGGCAGGTAGAGGGACTGTGGGCAGGAGAGAGAATGGGCAGGGAAGCAGAGAGAAGAGAGAAGGAGATGGGGGGAAGGGGAGGAGGGGGGTTGGTGAGTGCAGTTAGATGCTTGCGCAGGGACACATCACACTTTTGAGTCGACTCAAGAGTCAGCTTGCAGGGACACATCACACTTTTGAGTCGACTCAAGAGTCAGCTCGCAGGGACACATCACACTTTTGAGTCGACTCAAGGAGTCAGCTCGCAGGGACACATCACACTTTCTCACTTGTGGCCCACACCCTCTCCCCTCTCTCACCCAGAGCCTCCCCCTTGAACCCAATTTTTTACCCCCCTCCCTTCTGTTCTCCCGACACCCCACACTCACACAGCACTGCACCAGGGCTGCCATCTGCTCCTTGAGCTCAAACTCCCTGCGTGTTGTCGCAGTGACTAGGAATTCACCCCAACACCCCTCACTCACACAGCAGGCACCACCCATCACCATACCACCCACTCACACAGCACTGCACCAGAGCTGCCATCTGCTCCTTGAGCTCAAACTCCCTGCGTGTTGTCGCAGTGACTAGGAATTCACCCCAACACCCCTCACTCACACAGCAGGCACCACCCATCACCATACCACCCACTCACACAGCACTGCACCAGAGCTGCCATCTGCTCCTTGAGCTCAAACTCCCTGCGTGTTGTCGCAGCATGCGGAAGTAGAGCCACACACACTCTTCCCTTTCTTACAACCACCCTTTCTCAACTCGCAATCACACAACGGTCCCCACCCACTCACACAGCACTGCACCAGGGCTGCCATCTGCTCCTTGACTTCAAACTCCCTGCGAAGCCGCGCCATGCAGTAAAGCCACGGCAGGTGCAGCAGCGCGGGGAGGAGGGCGAAGAGGCGGAAGAAGACGTGCCACGTGCTGCTGCTGCCCGGCTGGTGGTACAGGAAATGCGCTAGCGAGGCAATGACCTGACGGGGAGGGAGGATAGGGAGAGGAGGGGGAGATGAGGGGGAGAGGAAGGCGCGAGGAGGATAAAGCCAGGCGAAAGAAGACATGCCACGTGCTGCTGCTGCCCGGCTGGTGGTACAGGAAATGTGCTAGCGAGGCAATGACCTGCGGTGGATGGGTGTGTTGGGGCAGAGGCAGGGGTGACATTTGAGTCAACATAGAAAGCTGCTGCAGCTGTGCTGCCCGGCTGGTGGTACAGGAAATGCGCTAGCGAGGCAATGACCTGACGGGGAGGGCATGATGGGAGGGACAAGCACGGGTTTTGAGTCAATGAGTTGGGAATTTTTCTGGTTGGTGGTAGAGGAAATGCGCTAGTGAGTCGACGATCTGACAGGGAGGGAGTATGGGTGTGTCGGGAAAGAGGCAGGGGTGACACATCAGTCAACCCAGCAAGCTGCTTCTGCTACCCGGCTGGTGGTACAGGAAATGCGCCAGTAAGGTAACAGAAAGCTGCTACCTCAAGGTGACTTTGAGTCGACTCAAAAGTAACCCAGCAAGCTGCTTCTGCTACCCGGCCCGGCTGGAGGTACAGGAAATGCGCTAGTAAGGTAACAGAAAGCTGCTACCTCAAGGGGAGGTGGGACGGGTAAGTCGAGAGACACAGGAGGAGGAGGTGTGTGAGGGGAGGAGTGAAGGACATTCGGTCGAACCAGGTGGGGCAGGTGCGGGGTAGAACTGGGAATGACTCACTGTACCCAGGGTAGCGGCGGTGGGTTCAGGGGAACAAGCAGCAAAAAGCAGCCGTCCCGATCCCTTATCTGACTCAGGTGGATGAATGACAGGGGCTGGCATGGCATGGGCAGCTGGGGTACAGCTAAGAATCTCTCACCGTTTCCAGGGTAGCAGCGGTGGGTTCAGGCGAACAAGCAACAAAAAGAAGCCCCCCCATTCCCTTGAGCGATGGGTCTATCTGACTGAGGTGGATGAAGGACAGGGGCTGGCCGGGCATGGGCAGCAGGGGCAACTGCTTTAAGGCAAAGACTTACAGTTTCCAAAGTGGCAGCGGTTGGTTCAGGCGCACACGCAGCAAAGAGCAGCCGCCCCATTCCCTTGAGAGACGGGTCGATCCGATTCAGGTGGATAAAGGACAGGGGCTGGCCTGGCATGGGCAGCAGGGGCAACTGCTTGAAGGCAAAGAGGAGAGCGAGATCAGAGTGAGAGAGAGGCGAGAGGTAGGGGGATTGAGAAGCTGTCTTGTCTTCTGGCTCTTTCGACACGGATCTCCCCGCCACGTCTGTATTTGAGCCTCTCCTTCCCCCTGTCACGTCTGTATTTGAGTCTCTCCTTCCCCCTGTCACGTCTGTATTTGAGTCTCTCTTTCCCCCTGTCTCCCCCTCGGGCTGTTTACATTCCTCGTTCCTCTTTCTCCCCGCTTCTCCCTTCTCCTCTTCCTTCCCCTTCCTTTTCCCCTCCTCCTCTTCCTGCCCCTTCCCCTTCTCCGCCTTCATTTTTTCCTCCCCCTCCTGCTTCCTTCCCTCTCCCTCCTCTCCCTCTTCCACAGTAACCCCCTCAGCCGACCCCTCCCTTTCCACACGCCCCCTCTTCTCCCATTCCTGCAATTTTCTTGACCAATAGGACTGGTCCACGTGGCACCTCTCACCAATCACAGGACAGCTTTCACCGCCCCAGAAATCCACCGTTCCAGAAAGGAGCAGAGAGAGGGGAAGGTGCAGTGGCAACCTCTCTTCCTCCCTCACTCCCTCTCTCACACCTTCACATTCCCTCTCAACCCCACTCACTCTCGTTTCTCCAAAAACCCCCTCCACACCCCCACTCACCCTATCCCAAACGCTCATCCTGCCCCCCTTACCAATCCTCTCTCCCCCATCTCCCTTCCCTCCCTCCTTACTCCCCTTCTCCCCGCTCCCTCCTGCCCCTGCAACTCCCCACGCTCCCTCTACTCCCACTCCTGCTCCTCCTCCTGCTCCTCCCATTCCTCCTCCTCCCCATCTCCCCCCAACACCCCCGCTTCTAGCAGCAGCAGCTGAAGCAAAAGACACTTCAGCAGCAGAAGCCAAAACCTCCGATAAAACCTTTCGGGCCCTTAACACCTTCCCGCCGAGCCCTGATTCGCCGAGAGCCGTTTCCGGGCAGATTGGGGTGTATGTGATATGTTTGCTGGGCAGCCAAGTGTCTTTAGGGAAAGGGACTGGGAGGAGGTACGGGGGAAAGGTAGGGCAGGGGGGAGGCTGGCGTTTCTTACCAGGCAATGGGATAAGGTGGTGGGGTTGAAGATAGGGCTTTAAGATGGATGCTCGAAGGAGCGACACCACTGAGTGGTTTCCTTCTAACGCAGACCCTTGTATTGCATCAGCTTGTAACGGATCTGCTTCTTGGCTGGCCCCTGCTGCTGGTTTAACACTCTGTGCTGCTTCTGCCGCCCTCCCTTTTCCTTCAGCACCTGCTGTCCCCACTTCTGCTGCCCTCTCTTTTCCTTCAGCACCTGCTCCCCCCACTTCTGCTGCTGCTGTTGCTGCTGCTCCTGCCACACTCTCTGCATACACGTTATCAGCAACCCTTTCAGCATCGTCCCGCACTACCCTGATCACAGGGGCAAAGCGCACAGGGTGGGGCAGCAGGTGCTGCAGGCGACACTTGGCGTCCACGCATTGGCCGCGCAGCTGGGCGGCGCAGATCACACGGTGGGGATCGATCGATGCCTCGTGGACTCGCAAAGCGTGGGAAGAGAGGGGGGAAGGGGGCGGATGGGGTGATGGGCCTCGCTCGGGCTGCTGCTGCAGCTGCAGCTGCTGCTGCTGTTGTTGACTCTGTTGACTTTGCTGACTCTGCCCTAGATCCACTCTGTGTCCCTCCTGCCCCTCCTTCCTTTCCTTCTCTTCCTTCCCTTCCTGCTGCCTCTCCTGCCCCTCCTCCTTCTCCTCCTCCTGCCCCTCCTTCCCCTCCTCCTGCCCCTCCTCACCGCATTCCACCACAGCCCCCCATCGAGCCATGAACACAGGGGAGTGTCGGTAGCACCGGAACATCACCAGCGGACTCTCATACTCATCCACACTCCTCTCCCTCGCCCCTCCCTCCAACACTCCTCTCGCTCTCACCCGGACCCGCTCCCGCACCCTCTCTTGCACTCCTTCCCGCACCCTCTCTTGCACCCTCTCTTGCACCCTCACTTGCACTCCTTCCCCAGTCACCCCCCTAGCTCCGCGTTTATGGTTCTCACCCCCCTCCGCACCCCCCTTTTTCCCCTTTGCCTCCTCTTTTTTACCACTCTCCCTCCAGCCTCCCTCATGCATATGCTCGTCCCTCATCCCGCCCTCTTCTCTCCCCCTACCCTCCTCTCTCTTTTTACCCTCCTCCCTCCTCTGCCATTCCTCACTCCTTTCCCGCTCGTCTCTCCTCCTACCCTCCTCCCTCCTGCCCCCTTCGTCTCTCCTAGCCCCTTCCTCCCTCCTCCCTCTCTCCTCTTTCCATCCCCTTTCCTCCCTCCTTCCCCCCTCCTCTCTCCTTCCTCCCTCCTCCCTCCTCCTGCCGTCCTCTCTTCCTCCCCCCTCTTCCCTCCTCCCGCTCTCCTCTCTCCTCACCCCCTCCTCTCTCCTTCTCTCCTCCTCCCTCCTTCTCATCTCTTCTCTCATCCCCACCTCCTCTCGTCTCCTCCCCTCCTCTCTCCGCCTATCCTCTTCCTCCCTTGCTCTCACCCGCCTCTCTCTGTCCTCCTCTTCACCTCGTCGCCTCTTCCCTTGCCCTGAGTCACCAGTCACAGTCTCACCCACCCTCCTCCCTTGTTCCAAAACAGCACCACCACTCACCCCTCCCCCACTCTCCCCTCCCTTCCTCTCCTCTCCCTCTCTCCCCCCTCCTGACATTACTGCTCCCCTCGCCTCCTTCTTCTGCCTCTTCTCCTCGTCTCTCTTCTCCTCTCCCTCCTTTCCCCTATCCCCCTTCACCTCGCTGACAGAAGCGATCTCCTTTGTTCCTTCCACATTCTTTCCACCCTCCCGCTCACCCCTTTTCACTGCTTTATGCTGCTCACCACCTGGTCTCTCCTGCCCTCCCCGCTTATTCTCTTGCGCTTTCCTCTGCTCGTCCTGCTGCTCCCGCTCCTTCCTCTTCTTCCCCTGATCTTTTTGCTTCTCTTGCTCCGTTTGCTGCCCCCCCTTCTTCTCATGCTCCTTCTGCTGCACCCCCTGCTTCTCCTGCTCCTTCTGATGCTCCCTCTGCTTCTCAATCTCCTTCTGCTGTTCCCTCTGTTTCTCCTGCTCCTTCTGCTGCTCCCTCTGCTTCTCAATCTCCTTCTGCTGTTCCCTCTGCTTCTCAATCTCCTTCTGCTGTTCCCTCTGCTTCTCCTTCTCCTTCTGCTGCTCCCTCTGCTTCTCAATCTCCTTCTGCTGTTCCCTCTGTTTCTCCTGCTCCTTCTGCTGCTCCCTCTGCTTCTCAATCTCCTTCTGGTGTTCCCTCTGCTTCTCAATCTCCTTCTGCTGTTCCCTCTGCTTCTCCTGCTCCTTCTGCTGCTCCCTCTGCTTCTCAATCTCCTTCTGCTGCTCCCTCTGCTTCTCCTTCTCCTTCTGCTGCTCCCTCTGCTTCTCAATCTCCTTCTGCTGCTCCCCCTGCTTCTCCTTCTGCTTCTGCTGCTCCCTCTGCTTCTCAATCTCCTTCTGCTGTTCCCTCTGCTTCTCCTTCTCCTTCTGCTGCTCCCTCTGCTTCTCATTCCGTGCTGCAACAAGCGGTGCTGCTGCTGGCGGTGCTGCTGCTGGCGGTGCTGCTGCTACCAGTGTTGCTTCCACTGCTGGTAGTACAGCCGCCACACCTGTTGCTGCTGCTTCTGCTCTCGCTCCCTTCCCTGCTGCCTCACTCCTTTCTCCTCCCGATCTTGCTTCTACCACTTTGCTCATCGCTGCCTTACCTCCTACACTCTCCACTGATGCTCCCCTTGCTGCTTCTCCTGCTACTGCTGTCAGCGATCGCCCCACCATTTCACTCCTCCCTATTCCACCTGACTTCACCCCTCCCCGTCCAGACCCTGACGTCACTCCCACTGGTGCACCTGACGTCACAACCCTGCTAACTGCTTCCTCATGGGCTTCCACTTTCACCTGAATGGACACCTGAAGCCTTCTCTCCGCCACCTTCTCTCCCCCATCACCCCTCCCCTTTCCACCCCTCACACCCATCCCAACCCTGCTACCTGGGCTGCTCTGGCTGGCACTACTCATACCTAGAATGCTTGCACCCCGCCCTCCAAAGGCCACATCCCTTGCTCTCGCCGGACTGCCAATTGGAGCAGCTGACACATCAGCTGCAGCAGGAGCAGACGGGGAGGCATTGGCAGTGGCAGTGGCAGGAGTGGCGGCAGCAACACCACCACCAGCAGCAGCACCAGCACCACCACCACCACGAGCAGCACCACCAACAGACAGACTAACAGCAGCAGCAGATATTCCCTTCCCTGCACCTGCCACAACCCCTCCTCCACCTGCCACCGCCCCTCTGCCCCCCACCATCCCTCCACTGTCCGCCCCACTCCCTCCTCTCCCTGCTCCTACACCTCCTCTGCCCGCCCCACTCCCTTCCCTCCCTGCTCCTACCCTTCCTCTGCCCCCCTCAACCCCTCCCCTCCCCACCACACTCCCTTCCATTCCAAACCCCGCCACTCCCCTCCCCACCCCACTCCCTTCCCTCCCTCCTCCAGCCCCTCCCCTGCCCGCCCCACTCCCCTCCCTCCCAGCCCCCCCCCCGCCCTTGGCCGCCAGCTGTGCCAGCAGCCTTTGGCGGATCACCTGTGCTCGCCTCATCACCTCTGCTGCATCGTCACTCCCACTGCCACCTGTAGCTGCATCGGCAGCTGTAGCAGCAGAGGCTGTAGCGGTTTCCGCAGCAGCTGTAGCTGCAGTAGCAGCAGTGGCAGCACCGGTTGTAACAAGAACACCACCAATTGTAGCAGCAGTTGGGGCAGTGGTAACAGCAGCTCCAGTAGTAACGACAGCCGCAGCAACAGCATCAGCTGGCGTTGCAGTGCCATCGCCACTAGCACCTGCAGTGGCAGCAGCAGCACCAGCCGCACCTGTAGCAGCAGCAGCACCAGCTGTACCTGTTGCAATAGCTTCAACATCCTTATTACTAGCAGACCCGTTATCAGCCATTTTCCCTTTAGCTGATCCTTGCTTAACCAGCTGAGCGTTCTTCCTAGCATACTCAGACACGAGCCTCTGCCTTAACACCTGTGCCCTGTGCATCACTTCAGCATCATCCGCTTTACTAGCAGACTCAACAACAACGGCCCTCTGTCGGATCACCTCTGCTCGCTTTAACACCTCAGCTTCCTCACTGCTGCATGTTGCTGCTGGAGCAGCAGCCACAGCACCACCAGCACTGGCCGGAACCACAGCAGCAGCACGAGCGCCAGTTGAAGCAGCAGCTGCAGCGGTTGTAGCCAAGGCGCCGGCTATAGCCATCCTTTCTGGGCTGCCGATAGGCCCAGCTGTAGCACTCATCTCCTGCACAGGCCTGACTCTCTCCCTCCTCTCCTCCTCCCTGCCCCTCCCAGATCCCTCTTCCCTCTCCCTCTGCTTTCCCCTCTCGCTCTCCCTCTCCCTCTCCCTCTCCCTCTCCCTCTCCCTCTCCTTTTCCCTCACCCTCTCTCTCTCCCTCTCTCTCTCCCTCTCCCTCCCCCTCTCTCTCTCCCTCTCCTTTTCCCTCTCTCGCTCCCTCTCCTTTTCCCTCTCCCTCTCCCTCACTCGCTCCCTCTCCCTTTCCCTCTCCCTCTCCCTCACTGTCTCCCTCTCCCTTTCCCTCTCCCTCTCCCTCACTCTTTCCCTCTCTTCCAGCCTAAATTCCTCCGCTCTCCTAGCCACCCTCCTCCCATCTTCCCACTCACCCATCTCCTCCCTCTCCCTTTTCACCCTCAAAACCCTAAACTCCCCTCCAGCTCCCTCCTCCTCGCCTCTCCCTCTACCATATGCGCCAGATGCACCTTCCCCAGATGCGCCTTCCTCTGATGCGCTCGCATCCAACTGCAAGTGCCTCCTTGCATCACGGGTCAGGGTGGTGCAAGTGATGCCCCTGTCAGAAGCAGCAGAAGCAGCAGGAGCAGCAGGGACAGCCGGAACAGGAGCAGCAGGGATAGAAGCAGCAATAGCAGGAGCCGGAGCAGCAGCGACCGGGGGGCCAACGTGAACGCCAGCTGAACCGGGAGTACCAGCGGAGACAGGGACAGCAGCAGTGTCAGCAGCAGCAGCGGTTGCAGCGAAAGGGGAAGCTCTAGCTGGAAAGGCAACTTCAGCAGCAGCAGCCGGAACAGAAGGGACAGCGGCAGGGGCAGCAGCAGGAGGGGAAAACGCAGCAGCAGAGATAGCAGCAACAGGGGCAAGCGCACCAATCACCACACCACTGCCCATCACACCCAAGCCCACACCCACATCCGCACCCACACCTGGACCCACTTCCCCACTCCCCATATCCAGACCAACCCCAGCAGCTTCTATCCGCCCTGCGATCTGCGTCCGTCTGTGCTGGAGCGCTGCACACCGTTGATTCGACAGGGCCAATCGCCTCTCAATCTGCCTCAGCCCTCTCCTCAGTCTCGCCTCCTCCTCCTCACACTCCCTCCTCCTCTGCCTCTCCTCCTCTAATGCCGCCTCAACCTCCTCCTCCTCCCTCCATAGAAGCTCCAAAACCTGCCGCCCACTCGCCCCAACCTGCCCGCCCAAACCTCCTTCCCCTGCTTGAGCCCCCAAATTCCCCTGCCCGACCTGCCCGGGAGAATTTCCTTCCGTGAGCCATCCACCCTGCCCGGTAAAAGCCTCCTGCCTGCCCGTGAACCCCTGCCCGACCTGCCCGTTAAAAACCTTCTGCTCTGTCCAAACCCCTTGCCAGGCCAAGCCAGTGAAAGGGGGGCGCATGGGTAGAGGTTCAGAGCGAGGGGGGGTGGAGAGAGGGGCATTTGAACAAGGGGAAGTTGGAAGAGGGGAGGCTGGAGGGGCGGGTGGGAGAGGGGAGACTGGAGGGGCGGGTGGGAGAGGGGAGGCTGGGAGAGGGGCGATTGTAGGTTGCATGTGCGCATGGATGTGTTGCTGCAGACGGGACATGTCATGGCTATGATGAGTTGGGGGCATAGGTTTCTCTGCATGCGCATGTGAAGGTGCATGTGAAGGTGCATGTGCATGTGCATGTGCATGTGCATGTGCATATGTCTGTGTCTGTGCCTGTGCATGTGTCTGTGCAGGCGCAAGTGCAGGAGCATGTGCCTGCGCATGTGTGTGTGGAAGCACATTCGCTGCAGCAAGAGCATGTACAGGCATGAACGACGGAGGGAGGGGAGGGGGAGGAGGAGGATTTGGAGGAGGATTTGGAGGAGGAGGGGGGTCAGATGGAGGGGGTGGGGCGGGCAGCGGGGGTGGGTGAGATGGAGGGGGAGGAGGAGGGGGATCATCTCTCACACCCTGCCCCCTTACACCCTGCTCCTTCTCGCCCTGCACGCTTGCACCTTGCGCCCTCGCACCCTGTATATGCTCTGCCTGCATCCTTCCGCCGTGCCCTCTAGGGCCCTGTGTGTGCGCGCCCTGCACATGCGCGCCCCTCTCACGCCCCTCCACCCTCTCCTCCTCCAGCCACCCCCCAAAGGAAAAACCCCCAGCCCCGTGCCACACACTCGCCAGCCCCGCCCACGCCCCATCCGCCTCTAGCGCTGCCTCCACTCCAGTCCCAGGTGAAATTCGCACGCCTGCTGCTTCTACTCCAATCTGCGGTGGTGACGCCTGCACGCCTGCTGCTGCCTCTACTCCTCGCACTGCTGCTGCCCCCACCCCCACAGTCCCAGGCGAGACCTGCACTGCTGCCTTTACCCCCACACCTGCAGGTGACGCCTGCATTGCTGCTTCGCCTCCTGCTGCTGCCACCAATCCTGCTGCTCCTGCTGTTGCCGCTTTCCCTACAGCTGCTTCTGCTGCTGCAGTTGCTCCTGCTGCTCCAGCCGTTGCTGCCTCTGCTGCTGCCGCGGCAAGAGCCTCTGCAATCACCGTCTGGGCTTCAGCTGCAATACCACCCCCTGGGATACCCCCACCCCCCGCTACAGTCACACCTCGCCTGTAGTCACCCTCCCAGCCTCCAAAAGCATCTGCAATTGGATCGTACTCGCGCCCCTCACCACCATCACTACCGTTATAAGCACCACCACCAGCCCCACCAACACCATTAAAAGCACCACTACCACCAGCAGCACCAGCACCATTATAAGCACCACTACCAGCACCAGCACCACCAGCAGTACCAGCAGCAGCAGCAGCACCATCATCATCATCATCATCATCCATGGGATCTATCTCCATGTCCTCTCCACTGTCCGGGTCATCTCTTGTAGCAAGGCCATCGCTAGCAGCACTGCCACCATTGCCAAAGCCAACCTCAACGTTCTGCTTGCTGACGTCATCAGTCCGCGTGCTGACCTCAGCAGTCTGCTTGCTGACCTCAGCAGTCTGCTTGCTGACCTCAGCAGTCTGCTTGCTGACCTCAGCGTGCATGGGCTTCACATCTTCTGGCGAGTCCTGAAGAATCCGGCAAGGAGGGAGACGGGTGCATTGGAGCGAGAAGATGGCATGGGAAGGGGGGTGGTGGCATGGGAAGGGAATTGATGGCATGGGAACGGAGATAGAACGGCAAGGAGGCACAGGAAGTTGCCCTTGAAAACACAATCACACCCTTCTTCAAACAGCATCAGACCCGTCTTCATCAGACCATTTCAAAACAATCAGATTATTCTTCTGCGACTGACTCGCCTCCCGTTGCCATGCCACACATCCCCACCCTCTCTCCCTCGTTTGCTCTCACCAATAAGGCCACCTTCACATGTGCACGACGACCCCTCCACCACCATTATCATCATCAGCCTCTCCAAAACAAAACAATCACAATTCTAGGCGTTTAAACACGCCTCTCTGTTGCCGTCGCGTGTCCACCCAGCCACAATCACATGAGCACGCGCCCCTTCACCATTGCTTTCATCTCACGCACAACAGGCGCACTCGACAACGCCTGTTGATACGCGATTGACGGGGAATCCCGCACCCACTCACCCAACCAGGTCTATCAAACCATAAAAAAGAATATCACCCCAGGATGTTGCATTTGAGTGACAATCCCACTCACCGGAGCAACCCCGTTATTGCCACCAGCACCACCACCACCACCATCATCAACAGCACCACCGCCACCACCAACACCGCCACCATCACTATCTAGCATGATTGGTTCATCCTCGTCATCATCATCCAGCATGATTGGTTCGTTCCAGCTCAGCCCCCGCTTCAGCAGCCCACTGCCCTCCTCTCCTCCCGCTCTCGCACGCCCCTGACCTAGCCCTCTTGCTCCTCCTCTCGACCGCACCGTTCCGCCTCCGACTGCTACAGGACGAGAAACGCCGCCCTGTCGAGATGTACGTGACAAAGAACCGGCAGCAGCTGCTTCTGGGGCGGCAGCTGGTGCCTTTTCTGCTGATCCAGATGCTCCTGCTGCTGCTACTCCTCCTGCTGCTACTCCTCCTCCTCCTGCTACTCCTCCTGCTGCTGCTACTCCTCCTTCCGCACTTGCCTTCTCGACAGCACCTGATGCTCCTTCCTTGGTCTTAGGTGCCGCCGATATTGAAAGCCTGGACAGAGAAACACCTGAAATATCTCCTGAGCGTGCCACCGCCGCAGATTCCGTCACCACAGGTGCAGGTGGCACATCCGCTACTACTGCTGCTGGTGCCCCTACTGCCGCTGATCCTGCTCCTGCTGCCCCTGCTGCCCCTGCTGCCCCTGCTGCTCCTGCTGCCCCTGCTGCTCCTGCTGCCCCTGCTGCTGCTGCTCCGGTTGCTGCTGCTGCCGCAGCAGCGAGAGAGGGAGAGGCTGTGCGGGGAGGCACGGGCGGAGTGGCGGACCGGGAACGCGCCAGAGAGGGGGGCACGGGGGGAGGGGGGATAAGCGCGGAGGTGGAGGAACGCGGGGAGTTGACTGGGGGAGTGAAAGAACGCGGGGAGTTGACAGGGGGGGTGAAGGAACGCGGGGAGTTGACAGGGGGAGTGAAGGAGCGGGGAGGGACAACAGGCGGGGTGAAGGAACGCGGAGCGGCGAGAGGAGGAGTGGCGGAACGGGGAGGCCGAGAGGGGCTAGAGACAGTCGCATTATCTGCAGAAGCTCTGGCAAGCGGAGCTCCAGCCTTTTCCTTTTCTGCTGAGACGTCAGCAGCACCCACTGCTACAGCTGCCGCTCCCGGGCCTGTAGCAGCCGGTGTAGAGGCTTTTGCTACTGGCTGTGCTGCTGCTACAGCCGCAGGTGGTGCTGCTGGTACAGCCGCCTTTGGCGCTGGCGGCGCTTCTGCCGGCGCAGCTACAGAAGTCTTTTCCAGAGGCGGTGCTACAGCCGTCTTTGCTGCTGGTGGTGCTGATCCCCGCGCTGCTACAGCCGGAGCTGCAGCCTGCTTTGGTTCCCTCGAAGGCTTCTCCCCTTTGCTGCCACCAGGAGCACTGACACCACTACCACTTGCGCCACCGCCACTTGCGCCAGGCCCATTTGCGCCAGTCCCGCTTGCGCCACCCCCACTTGCGCCAGCGCCGCTGGCGTTTCCGCCGCTGCTTGGCTCTGCGCCTTCCTTAGGCGCATCCGGACTCTCTCTCCCCCCGCCGGCCTCAACCAAGTTCCCCGAGCTCCCGCCTTCCCCCCTGCGCTCAAAAGCCGCGATCTGCTCGCGCATGAGCGCAATTTGCTTCAAAAACTGCGAGGAAGCTCCGCCGTCACTCCCGCCTGCTCCGCCAGAGCTTGCGCCAGCCGCCACCGGAGAAGATCCGCCAGCAGCAGCCGCTGGGGGAAGGGGGACGGAAGGGGAGCGGCCCAGTGCTCGCGCGGAAGCTGCGCGCGCAACTACCCCAGCCGCCGTCTGTCTTCCGCGGGGTTGCGCGGCTTGTGCGCCACCCGCGGTCCAAACTGTGGACTTGCTCGCGCCAGGGGGAAGCGAGAGCGGAGAGGCGGAAGCGGTGGCGGAAGCGGAAGCGGAGGCGGAACCTTGCGCAGCGGCGGGGAGAGAAGAAAATGTTCGACTGGTGGAAGATCCTGGCGCGCTCGCGGGTCTTGGCGGAAGGGCAACGGCGGAAGTATTTCCGCCGCCCCCTCCCCCCCCTAACGCCCCGCTCCCTGGTGAAAGGATCGCGGTCGGAGAGGCTCGCCTGGCCGGCGGTAACGATCTGCTGCTTGAAATGTCGCTTTTCGGGTTACCACCTCCTTCGCGACTGGGATCAACATTGTCGTCGCCGTCGCCATCGCCGTCGTCGTCGTCATCGTCGCACGTGAAGCGAATGACGAAGTTTCTCCCGGGCGGTGAGGGGGAGGATGCGCGACGCTGGGGCGCGGGGGGGAACGAGGGCGCGGAAGGCGCGTACTGGGAGGCGGAGGGGTAGGCGGAAGCGGAAGGGTACGGCGGAGCGGAAGAGTAAAGGGGAGCGGAAGAGTAAGGGGGAGCGGAAACGTACTGCGCAGCAGAAGCGTACTGGTGAGGGGAATGGTACGGGGAAGCGGAAGCGTACGGATGAGGAGGGTACGGGGGAGCGGAGGAATAAGCGGAGGCGGAAGGGTATGGCGGAACGGAAGGCGCACTCCGCGAGGGGGGGGGGACGTGAGACGCGCGGAAGGTGAGATTGGCGGATCTGACTGGTTTGGGATGGGGATCCCAAGGAGAAGGGGGATTTTTCCGGGGATGCATGTTTCTAACCTATGTGAACGAGATTCACTAAAAACAAACAGAGGTTTAACTAATGCATTCAGGAATACTGGTGCTTAGAGAAGCGCGTGAGAGGCTGGGACGGTAAGACGACACGGTCAGTATGACAGGTTGAACAAAAAAAACACTAAAAAAATATCGCATAGGTAAAACGAGACGCTTAGATGATGCGATGAAGTATGAGAGCTGGGCTGTAACGGGTGGAATGAGCATTGACCGATCCTCGACCGAACGCCAGCGCAAGCAGCTCAAATGGATCTAAGAAAAGCAGGAAAGCCGATTTTTGAGACGACATGGTCAGCAGGAAAGCCGCGCATCACAGGTAGCCAAGACGGAAAGCACTCCTGGTGATGACGTATGCCGTGACGATCGCGCCGCTTCCTAGGATCCCAAATTCGTCATCTATCATCCAATCACCTCCGATTACGCGCTGACCTACGACAGCTCGCTACACCACAAGCGTTTCTTATTCTAAACTCTTAATCACCACCTAATCCTGACTAGACGGTCGAGAACCTGAGAAGCCTGGATTTGAAGTTCTGCTTTTACTGCTGCTCCCCTCGTTGCCGCAGTGCTGGCTGCTGCTGCTCCTTTCCCATCAGCCATCACACAGCCAGCCAGCTTTTTTGGTAAAACCTCGGGAACTGCTGCATCGTGTTTGCCTAGCTGCCAGCCTTGATTTCGAAACCTTGAAAATGCACATCAGTGCGACTGAAGCTGACGCGATAGGAACGATATTGTTGGGCTGTAGTAAACTAGGATTGCGCTGATGCTTTGTGCACTCTTATCGCTAGGTTGGTGAGGAAGTTGTTCAAAGAGCTTAGCGAAATGGTACATTATTGGGGTTTGTTCGCGACTGTTTCCCTTCGCCAATCGCATCCCGCACCCCACATATTCCGCCTGCAGCAGTCAGCGCACTCCGCCATTTTCCCGCTTCCCTCTGCGCAGCACCCAAAGCGCATCACGCAATTCCCCGCGCTGCTGCACCCTGATCTCTGCGCGATGCGCCACTCCCCCTGTCGTCCTGAATTCGGGCAAAACTTCCGCCAAAGGTCCCAAATTCACGCCTAGAGATTCACGTCACGCCAACGGCGTGTGGTGCGCGGGTGATTCACCTGGGCATGCTCAAGCTTACCAATGCTCCATGCCCGTAGGTTAGAAAATTAGCAGGTTATTCCTAGCGAATTTGCAGGTTATATCACCTTGGCAGTCTATCACAATGTGTCAGATAAGCATTCTGATTTGAACTAGCAATCTTCCTAGAGTATACGTTCGCTAGTCGGAAGCGCTTCGCGTGGCGTTACTTCCTTCTGTCGATGGTTTCGCTAAACCAGATTCAATGACGCTACTAGAAGAATCCGCGAAGTTACGGGATAGAGCGACTGTTACCACCGCGGCTGATCGTGCAGGTTGTGGACACGTGGCAGCTGACATGACAGCTGACGTGGCGAGAAAGAATGAACACCACGAAAGAGCTTGTAGCGGAGTTCCCCCAATCGCGTTTGCTAATTCTTCTGCCCCTGCCGCCGCGGTTTCCGCCTCTGGTGCTTCCGCCAGTAGTGCTTCCGCCACCAGCGCTTCCGCCATCAGCGCTTCCGCCAGCTCCGCCGCGACAACCCCCGAATTGGTTCCTCGCTCTTCCCGCCCATCCACCCCCTGTTCCCCGCGCCCATCCAACATTCACCTCGATACCCCTCAAAAACCCCCTCGCCCGATTAGTTTATCCATAAGCACGACTTTTTCAGGGGAAAACACCCCAGCGGGCCCGTCGCCCCGCGTTGCTGCAGCCGCGGCTGTGGCTGCCGCTGCTGCTGAGCTGCTTTGGGAAACGCCGCCGAAGCAGACTGCAGGGACAGGTTCGGGGACAGGTTCGGCAGCCACATTGCAACGGCAAGGCTCGGGAAAAGGCTGGGGAGTAAGTTCGCCATCAGGACCGACAGCTGATGGGGGGAGCAGCAGCGGTGGTTCGGGGCTGCAGCGACAGCCGTCAGGCTCGGCATCAGGTTCGGACACGCCGAAGCTGAAGCAGTGGGTAGCGGCACATCCCCCTGCACACGGCTTGGATAAAGCTGGTAGGAGGCTAGGGCTTATCTGGGGATGAAGGGGGGGTTGAGGTGTGGGGTAAGGCATGTGGGGGGCTGGAACATCTGGGGATGGAGTGTGATGGAGTGGGACTCTCCCCCTTGTGCTCGAGAATGCTTCCCCTCCCTGGTTTTACCTTCCTCCTCTTGCAAATGATTCCTCCTCCTCCACATTCTTCCCCTTCTTCCTGGTTTATCCTCCCTCGCTTCCCTTCGCATTTTCCTTCTCTCACGCGCGTTTGCTCGTTCTCCCCCGCACCCCCAACCTCCCCCCGCACCCCACCCACCCCCACCCCACACCCCCATTACCAACCTGACTCCTTTTCCATCCCACTCCCCCGTTGCCCCAGCGCTGGTGGTGGACGGCTCTGCCTTGTCGTATCTGTGGAAGGAGGTGGTGGGGAGGGACGGTGCAGCAAGAGAGGGCAGCAAGGGCGCGGACGTGCGCAGAGAGAAGGTTTACAACACCATGTTTAACGTGCCATGGCGGTGTGAGCTGGTGAGGGATCCAGAGCGGTGTAAAACGGTGAGAAGGTTGAGTTCAGTGTGGAGAGAGACAAGGGCGGCAAGGGCGCGGACGTGAGGAGAGAGAAGGTTTACAACACCGTGTTCAACGTGCCGTGGCGGTGTGAGCTGGTGAGAGGCTGAGGGATCCAGAGCGGTGTAATGCGGTGTGCTTTCAGTCGACGCAAAGTCACCGCGAGGGAGGGCGGCAAGGGCGCGGACGTGAGGTGAGAGAAGGTTTACAACACCATGTTCAACGTGCCATGGCGCTGTGAACTGGTGAGGAATCCAGAGCAGTGTAAAACGGTGAGAAGGTTTGAGTTTCGTGAGGAGAGAGACAAGGTGGCAAGGGCGCGGACGTGCGCAGAGAGATGGCAGTGCGAGCTGGTGAGGGGTGTAGTGCGGTGTAAAGTGGTGAGACGGTTTCGTTCCGTCTTTTGAGATGTCTCAGAAATCGCTCAATTCACAGGCTACTTGGCTTGTCTGGGTTGTCGCCTGCCTCTCATCACTCCTCTCATGCATCTGCCCACACCTCTTCTCCCACACCACCCGCCTCTTCTCACAGCTGATCATAATGGGCTACCTCGTGTGTCTTGACTCCTTCCTCTCACTCCTCTCATGCATGTGTGCACTCCTCTCATGCATGTGTGCACTCCTCTCTCATGTGCACTCCTCTCATGCATGTGTGCACTCCTCTCATGCATGTGTGCACTCCTCTCATGCATGTGTGCACTCCTCTCATGCATGTGTGCACTCCTCTCATGCATGTGTGCACTCCTCTCATGCATGTGTGCACTCCTCTCATGCATGTGTGCACTCCTCTCATGCATGTGTGCACTCCTCTCATGCATGTGTGCACTCCTCTCATGCATGTGTGCACTCCTCTCATGCATGTGTGCACTCCTCTCATGCATGTGTGCACTCCTCTCATGCATGTGTGCACTCCTCTCATGCATGTGTGCACTCCTCTCATGCATGTGTGCACTCCTCTCATGCATGTGTGCACTCCTCTCATGCATGTGTGCACTCCTCTCATGCATGTGTGCACTCCTCTCATGCATGTGTGCACTCCTCTCATGCATGTGTGCACTCCTCTCATGCATGTGTGCACTCCTCTCATGCATGTGTGCACTCCTCTCATGCATGTGTGCACTCCTCTCATGCATGTGTGCACTCCTCTCATGCATGTGTGCACTCCTCTCATGCATGTGTGCACTCCTCTCATGCATGTGTGCACTCCTCTCATGCATGTGTGCACTCCTCTCATGCATGTGTGCACTCCTCTCATGCATGTGTGCACTCCTCTCATGCATGTGTGCACTCCTCTCATGCATGTGTGCACTCCTCTCATGCATGTGTGCACTCCTCTCATGCATGTGTGCACTCCTCTCATGCATGTGTGCACTCCTCTCATGCATGTGTGCACTCCTCTCATGCATGTGTGCACTCCTCTCATGCATGTGTGCACTCCTCTCATGCATGTGTGCACTCCTCTCATGCATGTGTGCACTCCTCTCATGCATGTGTGCACTCCTCTCATGCATGTGTGCACTCCTCTCATGCATGTGTGCACTCCTCTCATGCATGTGTGCACTCCTCTCCCCCCCTCCCGTACTCCCAAACTCCCCGTTCCCCGCCGCCTCCCACCCCGCAGCTGATCATAATGGGCTACCTCGTGTGTCTCGACTCCTTCCTCTCGCTCCTCGCCATCCTCCCCATCCGCCTCTTCCTCCTCCTGCTTCGGTTGCTCCTAGCACCCTGGTGAGCTACTGCCTGTGATGATCAGTCATGATTCGCAGAGAGCAGCACTTGTATAGTCCACGTTTAAGCAAAAGAACAGCAGTATGGTACACGCTATGTAAAGCTAAGTGCTCAATTAATTCTCAGAACCCAGTTCTTAGCAGTGGAGTAAAGCAGGGACAGACATGTTCTGGCTGAAAAGGGAAGGCCCTATCAAGCCTTTATCAGTGCCACACCACGCCCAGGGAACAAGAAGATGCCAGCAGGGCTAAGCTATGCCTCTAAGAAGAAACAAAGCGTGTCGTGTGCCATGGTAACGAGGTGACTTTTGAGTCGACTCAAAAGCCACGCCCAGGGAACAAGAAGATGCAGGGCTAAGCTATGCCTCTAAGGAGAAATAAAACCTCTGAAATTTTCAACTCTAGGCTATCCACGCCCAGGTCACCCGAATTGCCCCAAGCACCCTGGTGAGCTAATGCCTGTGCTTGATAACAAACGGTCCATCTCTTTCCCGCTCTTGATGCTTATTGCATGCGTCGTTTCATACATGTATTGCTGCCTTTTCAAATATTTGCGCACATTGCCATATGCACACTTCGCAATATGGGTGTTGTCCGTATAACGCTGATTTTATATTTCACCGTCCTGTACTGTACTCCAGGAGGGGGCGGCTGCATCTGGGTGTGGACGACATAGCTGACGTCGGCAAGGGCGTCATCATTGCATGCGGTGTGCTGGCGCTACAGCAGGCTGACGTCAGCCTCATTTACCACTGGATCCGCGGGCAAAACATTCTGAAGCTTGTCGTAATCTACAATGTGCTTGAGGTAGGTTATGTGCGGTTATGTGCGGCTGAGTGCGGTTGTGTGCGGCTGAGCTTTTGAGCATTCTAGGCATCACATCATTCTGAGTCTCGTCGCCATCTATAACGTGCCCGAGGTTCGTACACCCGTAGGTAGAATCACTGTTTCGCTATAAACTGAACCAATTCAATACTAGTGTGCATATATACGGGGAAAAAATATAAAAGATGCAAGAGTGAAATGCCAGGGTTCGATCAGTCGCAACGCAACTTCCCCCCCAACTTGCCCCCCAACTTCCCCCCTGAGACACTTTCCGCTTCTCTCCCTCCTTCCTTTTCCTCCCTCTTCTAATAGTGGACATGTGCCCACCCCACCCCACCCCATCCCACCCCACCCCATCCCACCCAACACCCTCCTGCATTGAGTTGATTTTTGAGGCGCCTCAAAAATCAACTGATAGTGGACATGTGCCAACCAGGGCCCACCCCACCCCACCCCACCCAGCACCCTCCTCCCCCTACGTCAGGTGATGGTCATGCCGCGCCGGAGCTTTGGCTGAGATGTGCTATTAGGTGCCTCAACATGTGTCCTCCCAGTCCACTTTTGAGTCGACTCAAAAGACGTGCTATTAGGTGCCTTAACATGTGTCCTCCCAGTCCACTTTTGAGTCGACTCAAAAGACGTGCTATTAGGTGCCTCAACATGTGTCCTCCCAGTCCACTTTTGAGTCGACTCAAAAGACGTGCTATTAGGTGCCTTAACATGTGTCCTCCCAGTCCACTTTTGAGTCGACTCAAAAGACGTGCTATTAGGTGCCTCAACATGTGTCCTCCCAGTCCACTTTTGAGTCGACTCAAAAGACGTGCTATTAGGTGCCTCAACATGTGTCCTCCCAGTCCACTTTTGAGTCGACTCAAAAGACGTGCTATTAGGTGCCTTAGCATGTGTCCTCCCAGTCCACTTTTGAGTCGACTCAAAAGACGTGCTATTAGGTGCCTCAACATGTGTCCTCCCTGTCCACTTTTGAGTCGACTCAAAAGATGTGCTATTAGGTGCCTCAACATGTGTCCTCCCAGTCCACTTTTGAGTCGACTCAAAAGACGTGCTATTAGGTGCCTTAACATGTGTCCTCCCAGTCCACTTTTGAGTCGACTCAAAAGACGTGCTATTAGGTGCCTCAACATGTGTCCTCCCTGTCCACTTTTGAGTCGACTCAAAAGACGTGCTATTAGGTGCCTCAACATGTGTCCTCCCAGTCCACTTTTGAGTCGACTCAAAAGACGTGCTATTAGGTGCCTCAACATGTGTCCTCCCAGTCTGAGTCGACTCAAAAGACGTGCTATTAGGTGCCTCAACATGTGTCCTCCCAGTCCACTTTTGAGTCGACTCAAAAGACGTGCTATTAGGTGCCTCAACATGTGTCCTCCCAGTCCACTTTTGAGTCGACTCAAAAGACGTGCTATTAGGTGCCTCAACATGTGTCCTCCCTGTCCACTTTTGAGTCGACTCAAAAGACGTGCTATTAGGTGCCTCAACATGTGTCCTCCCAGTCCACTTTTGAGTCGACTCAAAAGACGTGCTATTAGGTGCCTTAACATGTGTCCTCCCAGTCCACTTTTGAGTCGACTCAAAAGACGTGCTATTAGGTGCCTCAACATGTGTCCTCCCAGTCCACTTTTGAGTCGAATCAAAAGACGTGCTATTAGGTGCCTCAACATGTGTCCTCCCAGTCCACTTTTGAGTCGACTCAAAAGACGTGCTATTAGGTGCCTCAACATGTGTCCTCCCTGTCCACTTTTGAGTCGACTCAAAAGACGTGCTATTAGGTGCCTCAACATGTGTCCTCCCAGTCCACTTTTGAGTCGACTCAAAAGACGTGCTATTAGGTGCCTCAACATGTGTCCTCCCAGTCCACTTTTGAGTCGACTCAAAAGACGTGCTATTAGGTGCCTCAACATGTGTCCTCCCAGTCCACTTTTGAGTCGACTCAAAAGACGTGCTATTAGGTGCCTCAACATGTGTCCTCCCAGTCCACTTTTGAGTCGACTCAAAAGACGTGCTATTAGGTGCCTCAACATGCGTCCTCCCAGTCCACTTCTGAGTCGACTCAAAAGACGTGCTATTAGGTGCCTCAACATGTGTCCTCCCAGTCCACTTTTGAGTCGACTCAAAAGACGTGCTATTAGGTGCCTCAACATGTGTCCTCCCAGTCCACTTTTGAGTCGACTCAAAAGACGTGCTATTAGGTGCCTCAACATGTGTCCTCCCTGTCCACTTTTGAGTCGACTCAAAAGACGTGCTATTAGGTGCCTCAACATGTGTCCTCCCAGTCCACTTTTGAGTCGACTCAAAAGACGTGCTATTAGGTGCCTCAACATGTGTCCTCCCAGTCCACTTTTGAGTCGACTCAAAAGACGTGCTATTAGGTGCCTCAACATGTGTCCTCCCAGTCCACTTTTGAGTCGACTCAAAAGACGTGCTATTAGGTGCCTCAACATGTGTCCTCCCAGTCCACTTTTGAGTCGACTCAAAAGACGTGCTATTAGGTGCCTCAACATGCGTCCTCCCAGTCCACTTCTGAGTCGACTCAAAAGACGTGCTATTAGGTGCCTCAACATGTGTCCTCCCAGTCCACTTTTGAGTCGACTCAAAAGACGTGCTATTAGGTGCCTCAACATGTGTCCTCCCAGTCCACTTTTGAGTCGACTCAAAAGACGTGCTATTAGGTGCCTCAACATGTGTCCTCCCTGTCCACTTTTGAGTCGACTCAAAAGACGTGCTATTAGGTGCCTCAACATGTGTCCTCCCAGTCCAACCCAACCCCAATCACCCCACCCCACACCACCACACACCACCCCCACCCCACCCCACACCACCCCACACCACCCCACACCACCCCACACCACCCCAGGTAATGGACAAGCTGTGCCAGAGCTTTGGCTGCGACGTGCTACAGATGACTCTCAACACAGCTGCTCGTGTGGCCGCCGCTGCTACAGCCGGCTCAGCAGCAGGGGAAGCAGATCGAGCGGGCGGCGCAACAGGAGGGACAGCAGGAGCAGCATCAGGAGGGACAGCAGGAGCAGCATCGGGAGGAGGAAGGGCAGCAGCAGCAGCAGCAGCAGTACCAGTGCCTGCCCCTGCATCCCTACCAACTGAAACCCTCCGGTTTATCATCGATGAAGCGATAGCAGTGGCATGCTTCCTGCTGCACGCGCTGGTGCTGCTGACTCAGGCCGTGACGCTGAACGTGGCCATCAACTCGCACAACCACATCCTCGTCACTCTCCTTGTTTCAAACAACTTTGCGGAAGTTAAATCCAACGTGTTCAAGCGCTTCAGCCGGGAGAACATTCACAAGCTTGCCTGCTTAGGTGAGTTCTGATGCTGTAAGAGCAGCAGCAGGTGCATAGCGGTGGCGTGCTCTGGTGCTGCTGGCACAAGCAATCTTGCTGTAAGAGCAGCAGCAGCAGCAGCAGCAGGTGCATTCTCAGCGAGTGGTGCAACAGGGAAGTGTTTTGCTTGATCTTTTCTTGTTACGCCTGGATTTCAATGACACGTTTCATCTTGTATCCGCACTCTTGATGTGCTGCCCACTCCGCCCCCTCTCACCTGCACCAGACACGGTGGAACGGTTCTCTTGGATTTCTAAACCTCTTCGTCTCGTAACCGCACTCTTGTTGTGCCTCCCCCTGCTGCCCCTCCCACATGTACCAGACACGGTGGAACGGTTTCATCTCTCGTGTCATCTCCTCTTCGTGGTGGTTCAGAACGTGGTGAAGGGGCAGGGCACCTCGCTGTCCTTCTTCATCCGGGTAGGTCGCTCTGCAAGCCTTACGTGTCATGTGCGGCATGTCATGCCATGCCTTGGGTGATGTGTGTGGTCAGCGCAAACACCATCTGTGGAACGTTGGTGAAGGGGCAGGGCACCTCGCTGTCCTTCTTCATCTGGGTGCGTTGCATCGCAAGCTCTATGTGTCACGTGCGGTATGGAGCGTGCGGTGCAGCGTATGTGCGTGCGGTGCAGCGTATGAGCGTGCGGTGCAGCGTATGAGCGTGCGGTGCAGCGTATGAGCGTGCGGTGCAGCGTATGAGCGGGCGGTGCAGCGTATGAGCGTGCGGTGCAGCGTATGAGCGGGCGGTGCAGCGTCTGAGCGTGCGGTGCAGCGTGTGAGCGTGCGGTGCAGTGCGGTGCATTGTATGAGCGTGCGGTGCAGCGTATGAGCGTGCGGTGCACTTTATGAGCGTGCGGTGCAGCGTATGTGTGTGCGGTGCAGTGTATGTGTGTGCGGTGCAGTGTATGAGCGTGCGGTGCAGTGCGGTGCAGTGTGTGTGTGTGCGGTGCAGTGCGGTGCAGTGTATGTGTGTGCGGTGTGGGGTTGTGAGATGCAAGTCGACAATCTAAACCACTCCTTTCAGCTGGCTCACTTGCTTCCCTCCCTGACGACATACATTCCTCCCTGCCTCCCTCCCTGCCTTCATACTTACCTGCATATCCTTCATAATTTCTCAGAACGTGTGCACGGTGTGGGGCTGTGAGATGCTGGTGGACAACCTAAAGCACTCCTTTCTCGCTAAGTTCAACGAGATCAAGCCTGAAACCTACTCCGACTTCCTGCTCTCGCTCTGCAGACAGGTGAACCGCTCTGCAGGCAGGTAGACCGCTCTGCAGGCAGGTGAACCACTCACCAGACAGGTAAAGCGTTCTGCAGACAGGTAGACCATTCTGCACACAGGTGAACCGCTCTGCACACAGGTGAACCGCTCTGCACACAGGTGAACCGCTCTGCACACAGACAGTCCCTCTCCACTCCCTGTCTTCTCCCACCCACTTGTTGTTCTGTTTTTGTTTTTTACCATCACATGCACCACACGAATCTCTCTCGTTTCTTTTCCCCGACCACCGCCCTCACCATTGCCCTTGCTCCACCCTGCGTCCTCCCCTTCTTCCTTGCTACCACCTCTCCTCTAACCGCTTTATCCCCCCTCCTCCTGCTCATGAGGTCCTGAGGGATCGCTGTCACCACCACATGCACCATAGGAGGCCCCCCCACGCCTTGCCTCCTATGTGCCTCCTCACCACTCTTCCCCCCTCTCCCCCCGCATGCCTCACTCACCTCCTCGTCAGGTCCTGAAGGATCGCTGTCACCACCACATGCACCATACTCTTCCCCCACCTCCCCCAACCTTCCCCCACTTGCTCTCCCCCTCACCTCCTCATGAGATCCTGGGGGGTCGTTGTCACCACCACATGCACTGCACCATACGAGGCCCCTCGCCTCCCCACCTCTCTTCCCCCCCCCTCCCCACGCCTCACCTCGTCCCCCGGTCCTGGAGGATCGCTGTCACCATGTGCACTGAGGAGGCCCCCCCACGCCTTGCCCCCCCACGCCTTGCCCCCCCACGCCTTGCCCCCCCACGCCTTGCCTCCCCACCTCCGTTCCCCCCTCCACCCACGCCTCACCTTTTCCCCCGGTCCTGGAGGATCGCTGTCACCATGTGCTCCGCACGTACACTCCCCCCCCCCCCCGCACGTCCTCCCTTTTTCTCACTCTCTGTTTCCCCCTCACCTTTTCCCCCGGTCCTGGAGGGTCGCTGTCACCATGTGCACTTTAGAGAGCCTTCCTCTTGCCACACTCCCCCCACCTCCGCTTCTTTCTCCCCTCTCCTCGCCCTCAATTCCCCTCCCCCTCCTCCTCATCAGGTCCTGGAGGACCGCTGTCACCACGTGCACCATTGGGAGCCCCTCACCACCTCACCTCTCTTCCCCTCCTCCACGCCTCACCTCCCTCTCCTCCCCCCCCCCACCCTCCCCTTCCCACCATCAGGTCCTGGAGGACCGCTGTCACCACGTGCATCGCAGCATGAGCTTTGTTCCCCTTGGGCCCGCGTGCAATGTGAGTTGTTGGGGGGAGAGAGGAGCGGTGGTGGTGGGTGTGGTGCGGTGATGGTGGGTGCATTGTGAGTGAGGGGCTGCTGTCACCACGTGCACCGCAGCATGAGCTTCGTTCCTCTTGGGCCCGCATGCAATGTGAGTTGGGGCCAGGGTAAGGGGGGTGGGGGGGTGGGGGGGCGGGTGTGATGGGTGGTGGTGGGTGTGGTGCGGTGATGATGGGTACATTGTGATTTTTCGCTCCCGCCTCTTGCACCGCAGCTTGAGCTTTGTTCCGCTAGGGCCGGCATGCAATGTGAGTTGTCGAGTGGGGGAGGGGGGAAGGGCTGGATGGGTTGGGAGTGGTGTGGTGCGGTGATGATGATGAGTACAATGTGAGTGACTGCAGCACAAGCTTCATTCCTTGGGGGCCGGCAACCATTGTGTCTTGCAGGGTCAGGGAGGAGATGGTTTGTAATGGGTGAAGTGTGGTGGCGCTGGGTGCAATGTCACACGAACAGGCAGGAGACGGTTGCCATCACCTGAACCACAACATAGGATGTATGCCTCGCTGCCCGCTTCCTTTCACTTGTAGACTTACTACCTTGTTTTCATCTGTGTAATATCTTTCCCCTTTTCCTCTCCCCCCCCCCCCCCGCCCCATCCCCGTTCTACTATCTCACGGTACTCTCCCCTTAATACCGTACCTGATCCCCGTCCATGGGTGTTTTGCTTCCCCAGGTTATTCGAGTTGCCAGTCCTCTCATTGCGCTGTTTATTCCCGCAGGCCTCCCTCTGCTCTCCCGATGCATTACCCCACTAGTTGTTATAGGTACTGTGTTGATTCTTGCGTTGGTAAAAGCCCATCTAGCCTTATCCCTGCAGATTTACTCACGATGGTATATTTTGCGCCACCGGGAAACAGAAGCCAAGCTTCACAAGGACTGATGGGTTTCATATTTTGTGGAAGAGACTCTTAAGCATTTTTTTGCAAACCGAATCGGTGTTATGTTTTCTGTAGGAGGAGTCCAGTCGACCACATGGAAGAAACGAGTGCGTTACAGTGGGAGCAATATCTCAAGGAATTGAACGGACAAGACAAAGAAGCAGAGGACAGAAGCGCTGTCAACAGTCCTGACCACCACGGGTGAACAGTAATACTGTGAGCTTTGCGAGATTGATGTTCTGACCGTGGCCAAATGAACATCGAACATTAGGGTGTACACGTTTACCGGACTGTAGATAAGGTAATTTACTCGTAGAATTTAGAAGTATTTATTGTTTCATGTGGGTTCAAATACAGTTCGGGAAGTGTTGACACGGTAGGTGCACAGTCCCAATGTAACAAGAATGTAAATCAAGAAGATTGGATCGTGTAAATCGCATAGATGTGTCCAGCTTCCCATACCGTGTTGTTCCGTTTGTCTTGACAAACGATCTGTCCTGAAGTGGCATAAAGTTATGACTTTACACGCACGAATGACGTGTCCAATCTACTTTTTACGGAAAGTGAACCCAACCCAACCCACCAAGATGGTACAGTTGTCACTGTCGCTAGGTGCTTCAAAGGAAGCCTCGCAAACTGCTAGTTTGTTTTCGTTCTTTCGATTCACAGTTCTCCCAGCTTAGGAAAAGCGTAGAACAAAAGCCTGGAACTTCAAGGGTCGTACTGATGGATGGCTTCTACACTTAGAACAGTACTAATATCCTCGAAGGCACTGTTCCCTGGGAGCCTTGTTCATCACAAAACAGTACTGCAAGCGCAACCCAGCCGTACATCACAACGTCCCTCCTGCTCTCACCACAACGTCTCGTTCTCCTGCTCTAATGTAGGGCTTGTTTTTCCGACTTGTTCGCACGTGTCCATGGAAAACTCTGGGTAACGAAACTGCCCCCAGCGAGATCGGGTTGTTCCCCCGCTTTTGCCTTCGGTTTGTAGTACTGTTTCCACCTTTGCCACAGCCGCATTCCAGCATCCACAGAATGTAATTTCCCCCAGCCTGTTGCTCCGCTGGCACCCGTTTCCGCAAGTCGGTTTCGAGCAGCTCCCCCACTTCAACCCCAAGCCACGCCAACTCGCCCGGGATCGCGCTGCGGATTCTCCCACAGAGGCGGGAGGTGTCTGTGAAGGGGAAATGCAGAGACACAAGAATTGGCAGCAGCATCAGGGAGGCCAAAGAGCAGAAAAGCAGGGCGGATCGTTCTGGCCAGTCTGATCAGTCCAGTTTTTGCTGCTCGAACAGCTGTATCTATTGCTGAGGTCGGATTTCCCACCATTTCCCTGACTTCTTTCCGTAAAGTAAAGCTAGCAGTCCTAGATTTTCACCTTTTCCGCACCGGCAGACACGCTCTCCAGAGCCGCGACGCTTCTTGACTCTCTCTTTTTCCGTCTTGCTGGACCAAGATACCGCCATCTTGTAGAACTCCGAACCGTCAGGCCTGCATAGCCTAGCCAAAGGAGGCCGCTCCGCTGCCTTCGAAAAAATCCTTCAGAAGCCCGAAATAATTATTTTTTGAGCGGACGGTTATTCTCGGCAGGTTCATTGGCCGTTCAAAAGTCGGGCATCGGAAGATCATCCTAGCTTTGCATCTCAAGCAAGATCGAAATGGCGTCCACCGTCGCGAACCGCCCTCAACTCCGTTTGCCGACATCTCCCTGCCACCGCCTGTCACAGTCGAGCCCATCCAACTGCTTTTACGAAACCGCCGCGTTTCATTCTACCACCGCCTCTTCCGCCGAAGATGCTTATAACAGGTCACGAGACCCGTACACCTTTTCTTCCACCGCCTCCGCCGCACCCTCCTCCTCGGGCTCCGCCAGCGGTACTACCACCAGTGGTAACCCCACAAAATTTGCGCAGATCGACCGCCGTCTCATGATGTGGAACCGCGCGACGGGCGGAACAGGCGCAGCCCGATCGCCTGCGCAGCCCGCGGCGCAAAGGACCGCGCCGGAAGCCGTTGCGCGCCAAGAGCTCCTTCAGCGCAGCGGATGCGCACTCCCGCCCGTCCGGTCGAATAGCAGCCCGGCGATTCGCCTAGCAAAGTCCGTCAACGATGCAGCCGCCGCGTCGACGCGCAGTTCGCCTCTCGGGGGACCTTCGAGCGACAGCAGCTCTGATACTTCCGTCGCGGCCCAAGATCGCGACGCGGCAGCGTCTGGAGCGTCTTCGCCGCTGTTTCCTGCGAGCGCCGCGACGTTTGACATGTTTCCTGGGAGCCCGAGCCTTTCGCGGTCCAGAAGCGCGCATGTCAATGGAAGCGCCGCGGTTCCTGGTTCCCCGAGCAGTTCCCGCACGCAGTCGAGAAGAAGCCTCGGCGAGAGTTCCGCTTTCAGATTCGGAAGACCGCTTTCTGGAAGCCCCGGGAGCGGTTTGAAAGGCGGAAGTTCTTCCCCTAATGGCTCCTCCACCGCCGCAGCCGGAACGGAGTCTGTTTTTGAATGGGCGGCGAAGAGGCGCATGGCGAATCGGATCAACGTTACCAGAAAATGAGCTTTTTGGGGCGTGCGCTGCAGTTTTCCCATGAATATGGCGAGCATGCCTGTCGTGTTGCAGCGTCTTTCCTCCCTGCTGTTGTTACTGCCTTTTTAGTGGCTCCCTCTTGAAGAGGCCGTGTATCCCTGTTTCCAAGGGGTTTTCTAGTCATCTGCAGGATGGCAGTCTCCTGGTTTCTAAATGTGAGCCTTATCTAATTCTCAATCATTAACTTCTAAGTAAACCTTCAAGGGTTCGGTTTTCTCTCATACGGTCAGGCCTCAGTCAGAGAGTGAACGGATGCATACAGTGGACGGACATTCGTCCTAGGAACAGCTGAACTGGTCCCACATATCAAAGTATCAAAGTATCAGTCAAAGTATAAGCCACAAGGTTTTCTGCGCATTGCCATACATATTATTTAGCTAACAGTCCACATTCTAGGAAGCAAGCTAAACATTGTACGGTACTGAGATATAGCCAAGGTGTAACCAGCTGCGAGAAGCTGTAACCATTGAAATCGCACGTTCTGGAAGCTGCGAGAAAGCACGGATCTCAATCGGGGACAACCGACGTTGTCGATTCCCTACAGCACTGACAGGTGTCGAATCTTGAACACCCTGGAGCAACCAATGCATGTGCGCAGAACAGTTACCCATTGCGAAGAAGGCGCCAAAATTAGCCGACACTGTAGCGTAGAATCAAAAGTGCCCCAAATCAACGAAGTGAAACTTCTGGTCAGTGTCTCGCATTCAACCACATCTTTTCCTTGAATACGGGCAGAAATATTATGAGAGTTCACGGGGAACATTAGGAGAATGTATAGCAGTTAAATGGTGGTTGTTGCAACGCCTGCGCATACACATGAATACGCGTAGGTTTGTCTCTGCCGTTGCCCGTTTTTATCCCTGCAAAAACTTGATGCCACGAAATCAGACATTCTGATTCACAGCTTCTGCGGGAATGCTGCCGCTCGTCCCCTTGTTGCTGTTTGGTTGCTTTTGGCTTTCATACTGTTCACTCCCACACGGGTCGCACAGCTACATGCGCCGCGCACAACGCTCCGTTGGATCGAGGAGCGCTTGTACATGATTTGGAAGCTGGAACCGTGATCTCATCCCATCCCATCTCAACCTGTGCGCGAGGAAAATCTCCTCGGTGCCACTCCTTCCTCGCGGTTCAGACACAATAAAAAAGTATGTTCCTTCTAGAAATCAGATATATTATTTCCTATCGCTTCGCCCACTGTGACAACCATATGTCGAACCAGTCTGAGGTATAGTCGAGAACTTGTGGCGGGAACGAAAAATGCAGGGGTCCTCTTTTCACGTCGCTTCGCCAAAAAGTACCACTGATCTAGTAGTGCCGTCGGATTAATAGTCTCTACAGGACCTATTGAACCCCTTGTTCCCTGCGTACCCTCGTCTCGAGTTCGCGACGCTCTCTCGAAGTGGCAAGACCCTCAGCGAGTAGTCGTCGTCACCTCGAAACTGATCGAAGCTGCAGCCCGAGATTCAATTGTGGCGCACAGCATACCCTAGACTTCGAGCATCGGAAACGGCAGTATCAGCATGACCGCTTGCATCATGGGCTTCAGTCAAGAGGGCGACGATAGTGCTTCTCTCAGTGCAAGCATTCGTAGCAACCCGAGTTTCTGGGAGTTTTCGTCTCGTGAATCCGCATATGGATCTTCCCGGAGGAGCAGTCCACGTCACCGCACCGATAACCGACTACAGATGTGGAATCGCGCTACAGCCGCGCCCTCTCGGATGTCCGGAACCTCCAGCAGCAATTCCGGGAAGCTTACCGGGACTGCGCATAGCGAGACGAAGTCCCGACGGCCCAGATTACGGAGGATGCAGAGAGAGGGGGACTGTCAGACAGCGCTTATCCGATCATTCAGCCTGCCCGCGCCACGGCTGAAGGCACCTCTCTGCTTGGCGGAAGCTTCGCCTGTGCGGACTCTCAGCGACCCTTGCCGCGTACCTTCTGCGCTCGTGGAGGCCGCGGATCTGCGGACGAAGGCCCGCGCAAAGCTGCCGCGATCGCATAGCGCGCACGTGCTAGGGGCGCCCGGGGTTGATGATTTATGGCGGCAGGCTATGTGTCGGGTGATCTATGTCAGGCCGGGCCGTGGCGCGTGCACGGGTTCGAGGTTTGAAGCGCCGGGGTATAGATCCGCGGGCGGAAGTCCACGTGGCGTGGGCTTGCAAGATCCGCAGCGATCGCCGGCTGACGTCGCGCGTCAACGAGCTGGAGATGCGACGGCGCGGGAATGTACAGGAAGTGCGGAAAGCGGGGTGGTTTCGAGGGCTGGGGTTGGGTCCACGGTGCAGGAAGACGCCAGCGCGGAACCTGGGATTCGTTTGGGGGCAGCAGCGCGGTCGATGGCGCGGGTAACGGGCAGTGCGACTGAAAGTTTGCAGCTATCGGGAAGCCCGTCGACAATCCATGGGCGGGCTTACACCCGCCAGTTTGGTGGAAATTCTCCGGGTAACGTATTAAAAATTCCGGGAACGTCGGAACGGCAGCAGCAGCGTCACAATATGGGGCTTCAGCAACAGCAGCAAGGGGGCGCAGGGAGCTATTCTGTGTTCGCGTGGGCTGCGCAGAGGAGAATCATGGCACGACGGGTTGCGGCTAATTCGTAAAACGTGCACCTCTAGGGAGTTGATTTGAAGATAATGCTGTGTACCTTATTGGGGAGCGCACGCTGATCCACAAAACCAGGGATTTTGCTTCCTGCAAGGGCTAAATAGCATGAATAGCGGTGTGCTGTTATTCAATCCAGATGTTTGCTTTGAAACAGAGGTTATTGATAACGGGCAGAAGTTATGCATTATATTATACAAAGTCATACGCTTCAGACGAACCAGTCTCACCTTACTCCACTTTGATCTGACAGACCTGGCTGGGTGGCGGCTCGTCAGCGGCCGTGATCATTTTCGGGATTCGGTGTTGGCGAAAGCCGTCAATGTTCGAAACGTGTCGCACCTTCTCGAAATGCCGCTAATCGTGGGGTCGCCCTTTTTCTGACCTTTACGATCGCCCAGGGCCCAGGTTTTTGCACCAGGACCTTCGAGAAACTGGGTCGGGTACATCTCGAACAGAAACGGAAAACTGAACGACACCAGGTTCGAGCAGTGTTTTGTATTCGCGACGTTCCCCCCGTCTGGCGTCTGGTAACCAGCAGGCTGAACAGAGTTAGCCACATGATTCACATCCCTTCAACCACCACCAGTTTCAGCTACACCCGATTCAGGATCATCCATCCATGGATGTTGCCGGATTTCTCATGGCTGACCTAATCTCTCACATGACGACTTCTTTCACATTCCTGTGTTCAAGTCCTTTTGCTGTGTCAGACCTAGAAGCGTTTTTAGTTCCTATCGGGGTGTCAGACTAGCAAAGTACTGACGGATTTCCATGTGAGAATTATCCTGTTAGGTGGCCTACAGAGTGACGATTCAGAGAAGGCGGAGGTTTCTAGCTTTCTCCAGGAACGTAAGCTGACTGATAAGAGTCCGGATTTTCGTCGGCCAAGAAGCGGATATCTTGACGAGATTAGCATTTCACGGTAGTCCCTCCTTATTCGTCGATCGACGCAGTTATTAAAACCCGGGTCTCATATTTCTGAAAGAAACTTACTGACGTCTAGGTAAGCAGCGACGGATAAAATTTTCACGAAAAACTTGCTCGCCAGCGCGTTTACTCTGAATGAGTGGATATTGCATAGGGTAGTTGATCCGTAAGGTGTGATTGACTCTATCTTGCTAGCTTATTGGAAGAATCAGGTGGATAAGGCCTTTTAGGAATCGGAATCCTGGACAAGATTAGCTGGAAGTTACTTTTGAATCTTCTCAAAACCTGGACAACATTAGCTGGAAGTTATCCTGTTAAGATTCTATTCAGATGGCAGATTTGGAGCGCCGTAACAAGCTAGAGGAGCTGATTCGACAGAAGAACAAAGGCCGACCAGGATCGTCAAGATACGGCGACGACGACGAAGACGATGCGGGTGGTTACCACAACCATCAGTATGGTTATGCCGACGACGACGACTTTATAGACGATGACGATGGTGATGGTTACGGTGATGGTTACAAGGATAAACGGGGAGGGGGAGGGGGGGGGGGAGGGGGAGGAGGAGGTGGAGGACGCGGGGGGAGCGGTAGCGGGAGAGCTTATGGCGGGAGTGACAGAAGAGAGCGGGACGAATATGACGGTTATGGGAATGGTCGGGGGGAGAGAGGAGGTCGAGGAGACGGACCCTCGCATGGCAGTGCCGACCCGAAGAAGAACGGAAGGTTCGTCCCCCATGGATAGATCAGGGAGACGGATTGCTTAGAGAAGAGAATGAGATTCTTGGTTCTTGAATCTAATTCTGAAGTCGACTCACGAGAGCGGTAGAGAAGTACGATGCTCCCTCCCACTGTTCCTGATTGCGTGCAAATCGTCGCGTCAAACCTCCGTCAATTCCCGTTTGCTACGACATAAGTCGCTTCAATACAAAACCCTCGCTTCGCTCGTTCAATTTCCTCCCTCTTGCAGCAACTGGGGTCCTTCTTGGGGCCTCAGAAGGTGGCGATCGCCAAGGCGGGGATTTCTGAGTCCACTCACTCACCGTCGTTCCAATGTGAAAACCCGTTCCCTTGTTCAAATCCCCTCCCTGCCTGCAGCAACTGGGGGTCCTTCTTCGGGCCTTCGAAGGTGGCGATTGCCAAGACGGTGGTGGACGCGGAGCGGATCCGACGAGAGGCTCAGGCCATGGCCGCTCGCGAGGCCCAGCGGAAACGAGAGGTGAGCGTCTTGGTAGGGCTGGATCTACTAGGCTCGTCAGTAGGCTCGTTAGTAGGCTCGTCAGTAGGCTCGTCAGTAGGCTCGTCAGTGGGCTCAGTAGGGTATCAGAACGTAGGGGTCCTTCTTCGGCCCTTTGCATCGTATGTCTGTCCCCTTTGCCTTGCATAGGTGTGCTTGTCATCGGCAGGAGGCGGCGAAAGCTGCACAGGCGACTGATGTGATGGTTGTCCTCTTCGCATCGCATGTCTGTCCCGTTTGTCTCGCACGTGTGCGCCTCCGCACTCCCCTTTGTTCCTGGCACTGGCAGGAGGCGGAGAAGGCACGCAGTGGCAGCAAGGCGAGTGCGGCAGGGAGGCCTGCGCCTGCAGGGGCGAAGAAGGCACCAGAGGCGGCTTACCGGGATGACAGGAGAATGCTCCTAGCTGAGGTGAGTGAGGTTGAGGGGTGTTTATAGTGGTTTCTGAGTGTAGAGGCAGGGGGGGCAGGAGCAAACTTTCCTGACCCCTGTCCCCTCTCCTCCACGACCTTCCCTCTCCTTTCCCAGATATCTCTGCCCCACCGCTCACTCAATATATCCCATAATCCCAAGTCCCTGCCACCTGATGTTACTCCCATCGCCTTGTTTTCAGGAGGAGGCGAAGCGCAAGCGACTTAAGGAGAATCGGGACTTCTCCTTTCTCTTCTCATCAGACCCCAAGCAGAAACCACCTCCCTCCCGGTCCCAGATCACCCCTCCTAGACCGCACACAGCTCCTCCTAGATCTCTTAGTACCCCTCCGCTTTCCAAGGACCAGTTTAGAGACCAGCCACGTCAGCAGCAGCCTCCTGGCCAATCACATGTTGCGAAGTCTGCGAAGCCTCTACCTGGTCGGCCGATGGCTTCCGCCGGACCTGATGGGCAGGTTCGGCGACCGACGACTGCCGCCGGGCCGGACGCGAGGGTTCGGAATGAGGGAGGGGGAAGGAGAGTGGAAGAGGCACGGGACGTAGGGGGGCGGTGGGATGAGAGGGAGAGGGGGAGGGAGAAGGAGAGGGATAGAGGCAGGGAGATGGAGAGGGAGAGGGATAGGGAGAGGGGGAAGGATGGTGGGATGGGGAGAATGAGGAATGAGAGCACTTCGCATGGGAGTGGGAGTGGGCACCATCATTCGCATAAAGAGGGGCACAACGGCAGGCACAGCGATAGAGACCACGATAGACACACTGAGAGGCACAACGAGAGGCACAACGAGAGGCACAGAGAAGCACAAAAAGACGCATACAGGGATGGGCAAAGGGAGGGTAAAAGGGACCCATACAGAGACTCGCATAAGGACAGGAACGGGGTGAAGGAGCGGGATGTTCCTAAGGAAAGGGACGGGCATAGGGACAGGGGCATGCAGAGGGATGGAGAGGGGTATAGAGGGGTGGGGAACATCGGCCACAACAGTGGGAGCACCCAGCAGCAACGGCCGTTAAACAGACCAGCGGGTGCTGGTGCTGGCGCGGGTATTGGTGTTGGTTCTGGTGGAATGGGGGCTGCGGGTGGGGGGAGAGGAGTAGTGAGGCCAGGGGAAGGTAGAGGGGCGGCAGGAAGGGGGAGTGTGGCTGGGAGAGGAGGAGTGGGGGCGGTGGGAGGAGGCGGGAGAGGAGGAGGAGGAGGTGGTGGAATGGGAGGGAGCGGGAGGATTGGGATAGGGGACATTGTTCGAAGGGATGGTGATGACAGGCGGTTGGAGGGGCGGGATAAAGCGGACAGGGGGGCACATGGGGCGTATGGGATGAGTGGGCGGGGCGGGGGGTATGACGATCGGCCCATGAAGGTATAATCTCTGCTTCCACAATCACTCAATTTTGCTCCCTTCTTCCTCTCCATCCACTCATTTTTCGAGATTTTTCTGTCGAAGTTTACCTCAAGCCATCCACTCCATTCACTCAGCCTTGCTCTCCCCGCTGCCTTATTCTTCGTCCCTTCTCCCCTTCGTGAATGTCCCCACACTCCCCTCTCCCCTCTCATTCCCCCGCGCCCCCCCCTCCACCCCCTTCCCCCATACTCCCCTCTGCCCTCTCTCATTCCCCTCCGCCTCCACACCCCCCCCTCCTCCTCCTCTTCCCTTTCTTCCCGCGCTCGTGATAATTTATTTCCTGCAGAAACCACAACCAGGTTTGGCCCCTCCTCACCGCACCCAACCGCCCCCTATGTCAAACAAACCGCTTGGCTCTGCTCCGGCCAGACCTGCTGGCATGGCTCGGCCCAAGCCAGGGATGGAGGTTCGGAGAGATCCGGGTCGGATGGGCGCACAGAGAGAAGCGGATAGAGGCCTTCCTAGGAGGGATGGAGAGAGGATGGGGGGGAGGGGAGGGGGCGAGAGGATGGGAGGCAGGGGAGGAAGTGACAGATTTGGAGGGAGAGGAGGAGGGGAGAGGGGAGCAGGCGGAAGGGGTTTGCCAGCTAAGAGAAGGAGAGAGGAGGAAGAGGAGGATGAGGAGGAGGACGATTCGTTTGTGGTGGGAAGTGATGAGGATGAGGAGGAGTACGGGCGGAGGGGAGGGAGAGGAGGAGGATTGCTGGGCAGTTCTATTCTGAGCATGTTCAGGTATGGATGGGTTGAATGGGGTATGCCACATGTTAGGGTATGGCTGATAGGTTGTATCATGGGGAAATGCGCATATTTGTATAGTTTTTCTTTCCTTACAGTTAATCCACTGGGTATCTACTTTCAGTGCTTCTAGTGCTTCACTCGTTTCATCTCTCTTTCTCCCTCTCTCCCTCACCTCACTCATGTTTTTCCCCCCTTCACTCAGGCGCAACCACAGGGAGAACCACATGGGGCCGGCATATGACAGCGATGACTGTTCCCCTTCTGAACACGAGAGCTATTTGGCCTCAATTCCCTCTCTCCCCCCTCCATGCTTCCCTCTCTCCCTCCCCCCTTCTCTCAGACGCAACCACAGGGAGAACCACATGGGGCCGGCATATGACAGCGATGACTGTTCCCCTTCTGAACACGAGAGCTATTCGGCCTCAATTCCCTCTCTCCCCCCTCCATGCTTCCCTCTCTCCCTCCCCCCTTCTCTCAGACGCAAGCACAGGGAGAACCACATGGGGCCGGCATATGACAGCGATGACTGTTCCCCTTCTGAACACGAGAGCTATTCGGCCTCAATTCCCTCTCTCCCCCCTCCATGCTTCCCTCTCTCCCTCCCCCCTTCTCTCAGACGCAACCACAGGGAGAACCACATGGGGCCGGCATATGACAGCGATGACGATGACAACATGGAGGTTGGGTTCAGCCAGCTGATGGCTGAGGAGAGACGAAGGTGAGATATCTGATACAATGTGGGGTGAAGAAGTGAGAAATGCAATTCAGTGGGAGGTGAGGAAGCGAGAGGATTCATTCAGTGGGAGAAGCGGAGTTGGGCAAATCTTTATGTATCTGCCTTTCTGGTATCAACTGAATCTCTGTGGCTTGTCCGTGTGACGCCTCCGTGTCACCTCTTTGTGGTGCTTGTGTCTCCTCATCATCATCCTCACCATCATCCTCCTCTTCATCCTCGTCCTCCTCCTCATCCTCCTCGTCATCCTCATCCTTGTCCTCATCCTCCTCCTCCTCATCATCCACTGCAGTGCTCTGATTGCTCGCAAGGAGGACGAGAGGGAGGCGGAGCTACTAGCAAGGGAAGAGGAGGAGAGGGCGAGGAGGAAGAAGGCCAAGAAGATGGGCAGGAACTGAGCTGAAGGGGCATTTCGCATTGTGGGAGTTTCGAATACAAGGAGAAAGAGGGTCAGGAAATGGGCAGAAAATGAGTCGTAAGGACGTTGAGAACCTTCAAAACAAGGAGAAAATTGGTTAATGGGGATTACTTTTTAAGCACTACATGAAGAGAAAAGGGTCATGGACAAGGGGTGAGGATGTACTACGCGTAGGGAAAAAAGGGAGAAGGGGTAAAGATAATTGGGAATCACTAACAGACTGGCTGCTGTGCAGGTTGAGGTTGTGTTCAAATAAAATAAAAACACCATGACCACCACCAATAGAGGTGCCACTCCAGTAGTAGTGTTACAAACATTGGCTCTCGAGATGTGGGTTTGTTTTTAGGAGGATGAGGAAAGGAGCCGTGAAATTCCTCCACGATTTTGTCATCATTGGTTTCCGAGCAAAGATACCTTCCCATTGGAGTGTGTGCGTGGACTGATTTCACACGTAACTAAATTGGATTTGCTTGGCTAAAAGGGTGGGCTGAGGAGTCGACTTCAGATTCAGACACCCTGGCGTGGGAGAACTGAACAGCGGGGAAACAGAACTGTATATTTTCCGTGTTTTCAACGAATGCCCGTAGAATACCTATGATCGGACAGCTGTTGCTATATTTCCAACCGCGAGTGCCCCTTTTGATAGATTTTGTGAGAAACGAGCAGTCGTACGTAATCTTGAGTTTTAATTTTCACACGAGGTTCGACAAAAGTGGTTGTGCGCACATGCTTGCTGTGCGGTCGAGATTTCTTGACAATTTCCTCTCAGTTTTGGAACTGCAGTGAGACCTTCGGTTCGGAAGCTCGAGAATTACCACAGGTAGGCAGTGTAGTAGTCTGTTCATTGTGGACACCCGACCAGCTGTCGGAGTTGTTCAACTCCCTCCAGCGCCCCTATGGGATGGGCACGTACACAATGTACGGAATGGGGCAATTAAAAAAAGATAAGAGCCGAAACGCCAACGGCAGTTGCGTGGACACGTGCGTTCCATGGTGCACAGACCCTCTCCAACCTTCGCTGCTCAGTTCGCCACCCAAATCTACACTCGACGACGCTTGGTGGGAAACGTGGGCCCTTCTCTGCCTCCTTCGATTTGAGTTGAATGCTCTTCGGCATAATTCGCTGATGGTTACCATCATTGCAAAGCTGAATGGCATAGGCACAGCAACAGAAATGAGTGCACCACAGTGGAAAGGGCTTCCAAGCTCCAACTTTCTTCCAGCTGTTTGCGGGGAAGACACTGAGGGGGACTGACAGCCCCTTTCCAGCGCACAGCTTTGAGCTTTAGTCAGCACGAAGAAAATCCAGGTCCGTAGAGTTCACAAAGTCTCGTGCCTTATTTGCAGCTCTCGTCCCTCGCACCTATTCTGCAATTTCCACAAGATGTGTTCGTCGTCTAACGGCGCCGATAGGCCTGCTCCCGTTTTTTTCATAGAGTCCTGCCAAGCTCCTGCCGATACCGCTGCTGCTGCTGCTACTGATCCCAACAAGGCTAGCCCCGCTCGATTTTCCCGCCTCGATACCCGACTCGAGATGTGGAACCGTGCGACAGCCGGCGACAGCAACGCGTCGCCCAACGGCTCTGCGAACACCCGAAACAGCCTGCGGCGTGGCGTGCGATCCCTCAGCAGTCCCGCGTTAGACTCAGTGACAGCCCCCCCATCGACCCTGTCGCGCCGCCGCCGTTCCATCGACGAAGCTCGCGTGGCCGCCGCATCATGGGCCGCCGCCGCCGGCGGCGCGGCGGCACGAGAATCTTCCGCGCAACTACCACCGCAACCAAAGCCGTACTCACCGACTACAACCGCGTATGACGTGGCGCGTCCCGCGGTTCACCGCGCAAGGTCGGACTCTTTCCTTGCGAGAAACGCGGTCCGGGGGGCGGCGGTTTGTCCGCTGGAGCTTCCGCGCGTCGCGAGCACAACCAGTGCGGCGCAGAGCGACTCGGCGGCGAGCTCGCCGCGGAGCGCGGCGCAGCGTCACGCGGCTCGGACTGCGTCGCCGATAATCAGTCCTAGTTCTTCTACTAATAGTACTACTACTCCAAGAAGCGACGAATGGCGACGCGGCGACGAGGACCGGCTGCTGTCGGTGTTCACGTGGGCGACTCAGCAACGCATCGCTTCGCGCCGGCGATTATCGTCTGGCGGCGTCGACGTGCGATAAGTTTCAACGTCGCGAGCTTCACTGTTGCCTCGCTTAATGGCGGTTCGTTCGAAACAACGTCCTGCGGAAATATTGTCGTCGACTCGGAGTCGAACGCGTATATTATTTGTAACCCAGCCCCGTGGCGATTCGTGATTTTTTTCTTGAGGCGGCTCGTATAACAAGTTCTCGGTTCGGAGTCGAGCGCGTATATATAAGCGCTGCCCCAGCGGCGATGCGTGCCTTTTCCAGCGAACGCTCGCGTCGCATCGAGACCGCGAAGTTATGCTTCGCTTGATGAAGTTGGAAGTATGCCGGTCGCAGAAACGATGCTGCGATGACGGGCGATGATGATGCGACTGTGGAGCATGAGCGTGACGGATGTTCTTCCTGTCTGTTCGCGCTTTTAGTTGGTTCGATAGCTCGAACATTAAGTGGATCTCTGTTTCCTCGGTGCCAAAGCCATGAGTTCGAGCTGTAAAATACTGACGTTATTATAGCAGAATTACTTATGTGTGGTTTAAGCATATTACATGCTAATGAAACGATTACTAAAGCGTACAAGATTGCCGGCTGCTCCTCTACCCCCACCACCTCCAATTCGCTCCCTGAAAAAAAGGGGGGAAACCAGAGGCACCCTATAGCAATCCCCACAAACTGCGCAAAGTGCGACACGCGCACAGCCGTTAAGTGTGACACGCGCCCAGCCGCAAAGTGCTCCACGTGTCGGGGAAACCGAGGCAAACCCCAGGACGTGGATTTTGGGCGTCCTTCCTCCCATTTTCCATCTATTTAGGTTTTCTTCTATAGACTTTTCTTTTCGGCCATCATGGCTCATGCCGTGCTTAGCAATGCCGTTTCGAGACCTCCACTTTTCGCTCAAGATCTTCCCCGTTTGATTCGACGCGATAGCAAGTTTCCCGCCGGTCACAATGTTTGTCAACTTCCCAGCTCCGATGGTTCCTCGAACTTGCTCCTCCAAACCGGGAACAAGCCAGGTTTTCTAGTATCTCGGTCCGTTTCTTCCGTCAATCATGGCCGTAGAAAGTCGCGGCTATCCCGCCGTAATCGGCGCTCGTATGACGTGGCAGCTAGGATGTCCGACGAGGACGCGCCTTCTGCTGACACCGCGGCTGCCGCAACTCGCGCCGCGAGCGCCGGAGACGCCGCGAGTGGCGGCGACGCGAGCGTGGAGGTTCTGGGAAGCAACTCGCGGCGCGTGAGCGCGCGCGTCGTGGTTCCCGCGAGTGCTGACGTGGTGTGGGGCGTGCTGACAGACTATGAGCGACTCGCGGATTTTATCCCCTCCCTGGCGACCAATCAGATGCTGCAGCGCCGAAGCAACGGAGCCAGGCTGCTGCAGGTACGAACAATCGAGCTTTGAGAAAATGCTTATAACGGGGATGGTATAGTGCAGATGAATATGAGGTATCCTCGTCCCTCTCTTCACAGGTGGGTGAGCGTGAGCCTGACGTGGCAATGGGGATCAAGTTTCGAGCGTAAAGTGGTGTTCAACGGGAAGACAGCAGGATCTGTTTTTTGAGAAACTAAAAAAAACAAAAAAAAACAAAACTGGGCCAAAGTGGTGGTGGATGCGAGGCCAGCAGTACCATAATGTGTCTTGTTTTTTCATGTGTCGTATCCTAACATATCGGACATGTCTTATCTTGTCCTCTCCTCTCACAGGTGGGCGAGCAGGACGTGGCGACAATGGTCATCAAGTTCCGAGCCAAGGTGGTGGTGGATGTAGAAGAAGGGGAGGAGGAGTGCCTGCCTCGTGCTGCACTATAATAGACTATATCATACCTTATCATATCATATATTATCTTCTCCACTTCTTCACAGGTGGGCGAGCAGGACGTGGCAATGGGCATCAAGTTCCGAGCCAAGGTGGTGGTGGACGTGGAGGAGGGGGAGGAGGAGCGCCTGCCTCGTGCCTTTCCCAGAAGCTTCAGCAGCAGCGACAGCAGCGGCAGCGGCAGCAGCGGCAGCAGCGGAGAGGAGAGTGATGCTGCGATTGGCGGGGTGGGTGGCAGCACGAGGAGGCGCCGCATTCACTTCAAAATGGTTGAGGGCGACTTTCAGAAATTTGTGGGCGTGTGGACGCTGGAGGAACAGGTGAGCTTCGTTCAGATCCGATCAACTTGCTTTTGTGAAGTCTCCGGAGCCTTTCTTTCTCTCGCGTATCCCCTCTTGCCTCACACCGCATCGTGTTGGGCGATCTTCAAAGATCTCTTGAGAATTATAAGAAACAAACCCTCCTCCCCTTCTCCCTTCCCTCTTTCTCTCCCTCCCCCTTCCCTCCTCCCCAGCTGCCCGGCTCCCCCTCCGGCCCCACCACCCTCTCATACTCGGTTGAGCTGACGCCACACTTCTGGCTGCCTGTGGCCTTGGTGGAGGGGAGAATATCGAAGGAGATTAAAGCCAACCTAGCAGGGGTCAGACAGGAGGCTTACAGGAGAATCCAGGTGGCCTTGTCGCAAGCGTGAAGTCTGCATGGGGACTTCAGATGGTCCGATATGAAGGCGGTGTTTTTTTAGCAGAGATAAGATCAGGGAAGAGGCTTACAGGAGAATTCAGGTGGCCTTGTTGCAAGTGGGAAGTCTGCACGACTCTAGATGTTTAAACATTATGATAATCTCTTTCGAGTCATACTTGCGAAACAAAAGGCCAACGTCAAAGTTTGGTGCTCTTCATCTTATGGTGAAAACAATTTTGATCCAGTGTCTCATATTTTCAGGAGTTGAGTAATATAAAAACTGCTAGAAAGGCATAGTGCCGTCGTAGCGGAAGCCTTGATTGTGTTGGAAACAACTAATTCTAAGCGCCTCTGT